CGTGACCGGGTCGAGGCGGGCTTGAGGCTGTGCGGGGAAGGCGGCGCGGCTATCTGATCATCGGTCATGGTATCTGTCAGTTTATCGATAAAGAAAAATCATAAACATGCAGTGAATGGCGATCAAATGGGGGAGGTCATCTCGAGAAAAGAGGAAAAGAGGGGGAAGAGGCGGAGATAAGAACGGAAAGTGAGGCCGGGATGACTTGCCTGTTTGATTCCCAAAGCGGGGAAATCGAAGAAATCCTCCAGCCTGCAGCCCTAATCTGATAAGCTGCGAGATAACTTGGATCCTGGAACCCCGTTTGCTCGACCCCCAACCCCTCCGGCTCGATATTTATCTGCCCAGACCAACCTACATCATCCTGCTTGATCACAGCAGGAACAACCAAAATGCAGAACAAAGCTAACGTCCTCCTGATCGGCTGCGGCGGCATCGGCACCATCGGGGCCCTCAACCTCGAACTGGGCGGCCAAGCCACTGTCACCGCCGTCTTGCGATCCAACTACGAACACGTCAAAGAACATGGCTTCTCCATTAAATCCATCGACCACGGCGAGGTCGAAGGCTTCAAGCCATCTATTCGTACGGACCCCTCTTGTTCCGCCCGCTCTCCACCACCTAAGCCTCCTGAATCGTCTCAACTAACACCCAAGACCAGTCCGCAACACCATCCCCGACCTCACCAACGAGTCACTTCCTCCCTACGACTACATCATCGTAACTACCAAGAACTACGCCGACATCCCCCCGTCCGTGGCAACACTAATCTATCCCGCCGTCACCCCGGGCCACACCCGTATTGTCTTACTCCAAAACGGCCTCAACATCCACAAAACCCTGCAATCCGCCTTCCCCACCAACATCATCCTCAGCGGCGTGAGCTTCTGCGGCTCTCACCAAGTCGCCCCGGGGAAGATCGTGCATGAAGATGACGACGAGCTGTACATCGGCGCCTTCCGCAATGCGGGCCTCGCTCCGGAGGTCGAAGACGCCGCCGCGCAGGACTTCGTGCGAATCTACGGCGCGGGCGGGAAGTGCCAGCCGCAGTTCAACCCCGACGTGGCGTTTAGTCGGTGGCGCAAGTTGCTGTACAACGCGTGTCTGAACCCGATCTGTGCCATCACCGATCTTGATACGGGGAGGATCCAGTTGGCGGAGGGGGCGATTGAGGACCTCGTCAGACCAGCCATGCGGGAGATTCAGGCTGCGGCGAAGGCGTGCGCGGGCGTGGAGCTGCCCGACGAGACCCTGGATTTTATGATCACCATGGATCCGATCACCATGTACAATCCGCCGAGTATGCAGGTGGATGTGCGGAGCGGGCGGTTCACGGAGTTTGAGAATCTGGTGGGCGAGGCGGTGCGCGAGGGCAGGGCCAAGGGAGTGGCCATGCCGACGTTGACCGTCTTGTATGGGATTTTGAAGGCGATGCAGTGGCGGACGAAGGAAAAGAGGGGGTTGGTCACGGTGCCGGAGGCGGTGGACCATACTGTTCAGAAGTGATTGCTTGTTTTTGGCTGTATTTGAGTACAGAAAAATATATTATCGGCATGGGAGGTGAAGGCAAAGAATATCGCACACTGCATGTGATCGAACCTTGTCCTTAGTTCGCTCATAGAACCTCATTTTTCTGGTTTGTCTCCATCACTAACTTTTGGCCTTGCGCTTGTCCTCCTTTGTCGAAACTTTGTATCAAGGCAGAGCTTTCGTAGTGCAGTCTTTGTCAGGATATACATCCAGATATCCCGCTCATGCAAGACTTAAAAAGGAGTCCTGCGACCAATTCACAGCATCACACCATGCCAAAAAGTCAAAGTCCTCAGTCAAATCACAGTCCAGAGGCCAGCCCTGCGGCAGGTCGGGGTCTCCATTCCATACAGCCGGGTGCGGAACTGGCGGGGGAGAAAGAACCTGGTCCAATGCCCATCGAATGAATTTCGCCCCCTTTTGGGCCACCTCATAATTCCCGTCGTGGTTCTGCACTAGCGACGTCAGATGGGAAACAAAAACACTTAGCTTCTGAACGGCGCGGGAGCGGAAGTTGGCCGGTAGCGGTGGCGGGCTCGACGGTGGTATCTGGGAACTGCGCCCGGCAAGTAGTTGCGAGGTCAGCGCACCTGCGGCAGGCAGGCCCATGTAGCACAACTGTAGGAGATAGGTACGTCAGATAATCGTGATCTAAGCGCAGAGGGTCTGGAATGGTCAAAGTAGTCGTACATCCCAGGACATGTTGATAGCGGACTTCCCCGATCGAGCTTGCATGGCAACGATGTCCAGCAGTGTCGTCAGAATATCAACGGCGCTCTCTAGAAGACCTAGTGAGGTGACTCCCAGGCGCTTGAGTAGGATGCGATGCAACAAAAACTCCTGGTAGGTGAATTCCATGTGTGCGAAGACGCGGCCCTCGTCTTGAGCTGAGCGGTATGCACCCGTCGCCGCTTCCTCGGCCGACCAACGCATGAAGGTAGGCAGGCTTTGTTGCATCTTTCGGCACTCTTGGATCAAGTCTCTGTGCCCATTCTCGCGGAAGTCAGTTTTGAATAATAGTATGCTAGGAATTTCAGGTGTAACGAACTCGACTTTGGCTTCAAGATTCCGGATCTCGGGGCTTAGTGACAGCTCCAAGGTGCTTTCTCGCAGCAGACTCGTCATCAACACAACGCGAAGCTTGACACCCACCGTGAATCTCCCTTCTGTGTTCCAACCATTCGCATCAAGTTTCAGCAGTGCGGTCTCCTCGGTGGTACCAGGACAAACCATCTCCTCATAGGAAATATCCAAGGGAAGCGGGAGATGGCAGTATCGCGAGCAGATCCGGGGGGGGCGCCCTAAAGAGGTTGCCAGCTCCTTGTCCATTGCATACGCACACACCAACACCCGCTTCCGGATCTCCACCAAAAAGAAGGGGAGGCTTGGTTGGACGTCTCGATCGGATTGATGCAGGCCGAATGCATAAACGATGGTCGATAAGTCTCCGAGCTTCTGCCACACTCTGTAGTCTATCGCAGTTTCAGCCGCCGTCCATTTGGGCGGGCGAGAATGTACGAAAAAGAAGAGTACATACCGTTATCCCCAAACATCGAAGTCAGAAGGGCTACCTGCTGGATCATGAGCCAGCAAAGGGGATCACTGCTGGTTGCGGCGCTGTTGCAGAATTGGCAGCACAGCTCCCCCGCCGTAGTGGAAATGCTTCGGAGTTGAGCCTTCGACAGTTTTGACGGGTTTTGATTAGTGAATACGGGATCGCTGTCGGGGGTATTGAACAGTGCTGTCCCAAGCAATGCAAAGAAGAGACCGACGGTCTCCCACCGTGCCGTGATCGACTCAAAATACTCGTTGGCGCTCATGGCTGCGTGCGTTCGGATATCCTCCGATGTGTTGGCACAGATCTGGCGCGACAGGCGTAGTAAGGATGCGTGCGTGTCCGGAGAGCCACCCACGGCCGAGTCGTACATCCTCTCCATGGAATCGCACAGGACACGTGTCAAAGCAGGGCCTAAAACCCATCCAGGTGAGGTCTTGTTCTTTAGCTCAATGATCGCACGGAACCAACGGATCTTCTGCAGGTGCAACAAAATCCGAGCCCCACGCTTGATCTGATCTGAGCCAGGGTCGGTTGGGTGAGCCGTGGTCGTCGATGCCGCCTCTTCAGGAGCGAGATCATCGTTTTGCAAGCTATCTTCATACTCGCTAAAGATGTCTTGGGGTGAGACTAACCCGAAAAGACCTGGTCTTGGGTTCCGCTTGTTCTTTCCAGCACATCGCGGGAGGTGCTCCTCGCATAGTGTTTTTGCGTCTTCGATCACCGGCGACAAACCCGACGGCAAAGCTGGCAGCGGACCTTGCGCAGCTGCGGTGGATATTCTCCTATCCACACGAAAGGTGACCTGATTGTTTGGTCTTTGCTTTCTTGATCTTCGTGATGAAACGCCAATGGGGGATGCACGCGGCTGGGTCTGAGGAGCTGGATGATAGAAGCAGAGCTCATTTCGATTGCTGTTGAGACATCGTCCACAAACGGGACTCTGGTGGTCGCATCGTAGCTTGGCTTTTCTGCATGGCTCGCAGGAAGAAAGCCGCCCGTTGCGACGGAGGGTTGCCATTTCATACCGTAGCCCTCAGCAAACAATCATGGGGAGTGACACACGCAAGAGATAGAGTGGGGAGAAGAAAGACATTCAGAGCAAATCGAGAATGAAGTTCATCGCTTATCGCTTTGTGAGGCGCGGCCCTCGGCATCGGAGTCGGACCTAGCATGCATTATTGCCTATTCCGGTAATTTCGACAGCCGAACTCCAATTAAACACGGGCCTCGCTTATCAGAAGGGAAACAACGCTGTGTGTCACAACGCGCATATTGCGCCTGTTATATCACTGATTTCATTGTTCAAATCTACGAAAGAGATATCATAAGTAGTCTTTCTCTGGCATATTTGACCTACGCCCGCCGAAACATGCATAAGAACCAGCCAAAATGTCTAGGGCCGATCATTTTTATATCTGGAATCTGAAGCGATACGAAATAATCCAATTCGCGTGTTAAATTACATATCCCGATATCTGGTCCAGCTGCTGTCATTTGATGTGTCGTTGTGTGGGAAGTCGATCACGATTTTGGCCCCCGTGGTTTGAGGGCATCAGGGAGATGTAACCGAAGAGGGCAAATGGATCGCCGATGGAAGGATCCGAGGCACATCTGCCGCCACGGCTCTTCCAACTCGGCCCCATTCCTTCATCCTTCACCCGTGCCTGCAGCCCTACATGTTAGACCCTGAACCCTGTCTGATTCTCGCTCACCACGGTAGAGAACACTAACAATTCCGCCCGTTTGGCCCCCACGAGGTGTTCGTATTGCCCACAAACACCTGACGCTGAATTGCCATAAGAACCTGGGACCAGACCCGGATAAGCCATCATATCCTTCCTAAGCCCTAGGTAATCACGTATCTCTCCTCGACCCTTTCACCCACCCCAACCAATCACCTCCCCACCACGAAATGCATCTCTCGCCCCTCGCCGTAACACTCACCCTCCTTCCTCCAGCCCTCTCCACCCCCCTCCTTAATTTCTCCGCCGCCAACGGTGACCCCCCTTCCACCCTAGGCATCCTCAACCTCGAAGAAGCGCGCGACCAAAAGGTCTCCACGAACACCAACGACCTCTACATCAAGCTGGCCAGCGACCCCCACGGCGTCCCGGCCCTGCACTACCACCGCAAGAAGGACTACATCCGCGCCGAGTACCACGCCCTCGCCAACCAGATCGAAGAAGGGAAGACCTATTACATTGGCTACAAGTTCTCGCTTGGGGTGATTGAGCAGAGTTTGATGATCTTTCAATTGTACCTCCCCATTCTTCTCCTAAGTCGAACAAGCGATACGAGATATGATCGGTATGCTGATTTGAGATGGGGGACCCAGCAAGGCCTACGCCGGCAACAACGCCGCCGCCAACGGAGCGAACATCCCGCTCTCCCTGGAGTTCAAAAGCGGGCAGCTGCACCTGCAGTACCAGGCGGATAGCTCGAGCGGGCGGGAGGCGCAGTGGTCCCGCACCGTCGACACCGATACGGTCTACTCGGTGGGGATGGTGATCCACACGGGCCGCCCGGGGTGGGTGGAGTTCTATTTCGAGGGCGAGCAGCAGACCCTCGGAACCGCCGGGGGAGGAACCAGGCTGACGGCCAATACGTGGACGGGGCGAACGGAGCCCAAGTTCGGGGCGTATCGCGGCGAGACGGTTGCCATCGATACCTATGTGTATCAGGTGCAGATTGGCACGGCGTTGGGGGATATTGTGGAGGCGGCAGGGTTGAAGGGGGGTTCTACCCCAGGCGCAAGTACCGGTCCTGCGGGGAGTAAGACTGTGAGTGCGAGTGCGAGTGCTGCAGCAACAGGTACCATCGCTACAGGATCTTGCTCCTGGGAGGGCCATTGCGCGGGTAGGTTCAAATTCCCGTCTCCGGGCTTGAATCGGCATTGCTGACGTGCGTAGGAGCTTCCTGCGAAACGGAGGATGATTGCTCCGATGAGTTGGTTTGTACGGGTGGGAAGTGTGCCTCTACTTGATCTGCATCAGAAAAAGGGAAGGTAGGTGGATTTTACAACTGCAGCGCGGGAGGACTCACAGAGCGATAGAGTAGCGAACAGCGGGCTCTATCTAGGGTGGGCCTATTGGTATATTTCTAGGGATCGATAATAGAAGGTTTGTTGCTGAATAGAATAAATATGATAGTCCTCCAGTCAGCGAGACTACTATTTGTACACTGTTGGGCACCTATAATCTTGGAATCAAGGATATCAACTAGCTTTATAAGTCTTTATTCATATTGGGAAATGTGTTAGTGTGCATCGAGACATCTCCGACTTCCTTATCCGTTTTGTCCCTGCGCACCATATTCAATTGGGGCAATGTGCACATCACCGCTCAGGACGCATCTCAACCTTATGACTCTGGTGGTTTTCACAGTGAGTTCCGGTTCAGAGACTGCAACTTTAGAATGGATGCGACTGCAAGCCTGGTCTATTCGTCTTTTTGCCGGACCGTTGACGCTTGGATTTGTGGGCTGGGCAGAGTACGCAGAAAGGCAGAATGACCAGGGTGGTCGCGGAAACCCATCGGATTCTTTGATACCAGGATAGTTCCGTCGGCGACATCCCCAAGAGCTATCGTCCCGTCTTATGCGGGAAGGAATATTTGAGGTGTTTTTGATCATGAAACATTCAAACCGCCACAGATCGGTTTTGCACGAACACGGCTCTGTTATAAGATGAATATTGTCACTCTCGCGAGATCAAAGGATCTTCGATGTACGGTATGAGCCACAGACCTCATCTATATAACTCTTTGGCTCCTGTTTTGCTTTCTGAATCTTCCTTGTTATTGGCATTATTGGCAGGTTCTACCTTTTCCTCTTCTTCTATTCCTCTCGAGTCTTGCCTATCGGGTTGTTTTCGCTGCCTTGACCACCGGGTTGTGCCACCAGCACATTCCGCATCGTCCCCCTTGCATCTCGGACCTGTCATTTCTGTTACCGCCAGACCCAATTCTCGCTTCTGTACCCCGTGTTGATTGGAGCTTTGCAGGCGGATCAATAGTCCTGCTCCTATCACCTTACACTAATCGTCCGCTTGATCCTTTTATCATGTAAGGGTGGTTTCCAGGGATAAAGATTTCCCAGCATGTGCGGAGAGCAACAGACGGCAGAGGTCCCGATCAGCAGCAATCAACGAGCAGTCAAATCCCATTTCAAATCAAACGTGTTTTAACGCCGCGCAGAGGCTCGTACATATATTTGTATTGACACAGGCCCCTGACTGCACAAGCCAGAAGGAAGCTCGAGCAGCGCCCTCCTTGTGCAAAACCTTCTTTAGGTGGCGCCCACTAACCCCCCATTTAGCCCCTCATCTGCATTTTCTCAGCTCTCCCGCAGTTGCTAGTCGGAATATTCTTGTTCAGCAGGCGTAGTAATGGCATCGGCGCTGCACAGTGAGCTTATCAATCTGGCATTGCTTTTCTTATTCCCCAATCTCACTGGTTGACTCTCTCGTTGAGCTAGGTATCCTGTGAGGGTGCTCAGCGACAAAAAAAGCAGTAGCAGTGGCAATTAGAATGAAGCTCGGTAACAACCCACGGAAGAAATTAGATCCAGTCCAACCTAACCCCAGGGTCACGCAGATGAGCTGACGCCTGGGAGATCCAGCCACCGGGGTTGCGGTTATCCCTGGCTGTCGAGTGCCAGCCCGTGTGACGGGGAGTCGAGGCGTCCGTCGTTGAGGCAACATTCCACCAGTCGTCACTATCCGGCATACTAAAGTCCAAGTCCGCGAGTGTCAGAAGCTCATCCGCACCACTGTCCGTGTTCGCTCGACTAGTGGAGGTGCTGCTGCTGCATAAACGGCACAGCTTGTACAAAGCCAAACCAAATCGCTTGGTCTCCTCCACGCTCACCCAAACAAGCGCCACCGGGGCAGTCGGATGATGCCGGGCGAGCATGTTCGGATACGAGAACAGCCCCAGTCGGCGGCAGGTGGCCACCAGCGCAGTGAGAAGCTCGTAGGTAGGTTCTGGGAGCCGGAAGCGGCAGTTCAGGTCCAGTTGGACCTCCGGTTTAGCCGTCAGCACGGCGAATATGAGTTGCAGAAGGATGCTCTGGTATGTCGCCATGGGCCATGGTTTGCTATCGTCAGGGTTTCCCATTGACTCTGGTACATGCCATTGATCCTGTGCGAGGTTACCCTTCCGACTCGACGAGTCTTGATGGATTGGGGTGATTTCCACGCTCACCTTTTGAGCCCTGATCGCCGACAATAGCCGGTCGTGGAACTTCATCGCCGTGTGCCGCGCCTCCCGGTCCCCCTTGATCCACAACCCCATCATCAACATGGATTGGAGGAGGATGCATGGTTCCTTAGCTGGATAGAAGGTGGTCCGATGGAGGAACGGCCAGATGGGATGGAACTTGTTGAAGTAGATGTCGATATACTCATGGCCGATCCACCGGGATGCGTCGGCGACTGACGCCACAAGATCGACGCTGAGAAGCTCCCGGGGTTCTGAGACATTTTCACAGCCCTCCTCGTGAGCGAGATCCAGATGGGGATTACGTGAGCAGCTCGCCCCTCGTCGCGCACATCGAGCACAGGGACTGCCGCCATCACAGCGTTCTTTGCGTGCATGGCAGTTGCTGCAGGCCTTGGGTGTCCGGGCCGAGGGAGGCTGCCTGTCGGGATGGTAGATCCGGACATGGCGGCGGAGAAGGTCGCTGGATGAGAAGTCAGTAGGGCTGTCCTGCATAAGAGACTGGGCAGTGGGGACATCCCTTCTGGCTAAAGTGCTGCTACAGTGTGGGCAGCAGAAGCGATGGGCCCGGTCGTGGCGTGCTAAATGTCTGTTCAGATGTTCTTTGCGCTGGTAAGTCGCGCGGCAGCCTGGATGAACACATGGGAAACGGGACTTGGCTGGTCGAGCATTTGCTTGAGATGGCATTGTTAGAACTTTCAGAAAAGTCCCACAGTCGTCAGCTTTCGGTGGTGAGTGGGATAGAAATGGAAGCGGCGGCAGTGGCAAAGATCCCCCCCCCCTTTTGATGTGGGATTGACTAAGCTCTAACAGTTGGCTGGCATCCCACTCGGTCCATCCCACCGGCCCCATCTATATCAAAATATGAAACCCGTTAAGGAGAAATGTATAAATACCAGCCAAACGGTCTTCCTTCTTAGGGCAGATTGGTCTCAAGGATAACTTCACTACAATGGTCGACCCGCAACCCCCTGACTCCGAACGCGCGTCGAACGAGGATGCGACGTTGACTCGCAGCTACACTGCTGATGCAGAGAGCTACACACACCAGACCACTGAGCCCACGATATCTAAGCTACCCAGTCTAGCCAACCTCCCGGAGTACGAGCTGGACTGGGAGCCGAATGACCCGGCCAATCCCCGCTTCTGGCCGATCTGGTACCGAGGCCTGACGATGGTCACCATGAGCCTGGGTGCGACCGTGGTCAGCCTGTTCAGCACATTGTACACGTCTGGCATTCCCGGTCTGGAGAAAGAGTTTCACATTTCAAAGATTGTCGGCCTCCTCGGAGTCACAACCTATCTCTGCGGCATGGGCATCGGAACGATCGTGTTTGCGCCGCTGAGCGAGATCATCGGCCGGCGACCCGTCTACCTTTTTTCGATGGCCCTCTTCTTGCTCCTCGTCCTCCCGAGTGCGTTGGCCACGAACATCAAAGCCGTTCTGATCAGCCGTTTCTTTGGAGGCTTCTTCGGCAGCGCAATCATGGGGAACTCGCCCGCCTCGGTGAACGATGTGGTCTCCGACGAGCACCGCGCCATGGCGTTCGGCATCTGGTCTATCGGTCCGATGAACGGGCCCGTCTATGGACCGATGATTGGAGGCTTCGTGTTCGAGTATCTGGGGTGGCGGTGGACAAACTGGCTAGTGCTGATTATCGGGGGTGCCGTCCTGGCCTTGATGGCGTGCATCCACGAAACCTACGCGCCAGTGATTCTGCGCCAGCGAGCAGCCAAGATGCGCCAACAGACCGGCGATCCCAAATGGTGGACGCGGTACGATGTCGGGGAGAGTCTGTCCGCGAGACTCAAGACGGGCTTTGGCCGGCCGTTTGTCATGCTTTTCACCGAACCCATTTGGTAAGAGATTGCCCAGTCCAGTTTCTCATCAACACTTGTTGACACTCGATATCTCAGCATGTTCTGGGACATCTACGTCGCGCTCATCTACGGGGTCCTCTATCTCTGCTTCGTCGCCTTCCCCATCGCCTTCCAGACCGAGCGGGGCTGGTCCCCGGGCAACGGCGGTCTGTCCTTCGTCGGCATCGGCGTCGGCGTGCTGCTGGCCATCGCATGCGAGCCGCTCTTCCGCAGGCTCATCAACCGGCATCGCAAAGATCCCGCCACCGGCCTCGTGCCCCCTGAGGCCATGGCCAGCGTGGTCTGCTTGGGGGCCACACTGCTCGCCGTCGGGCAGCTGTGGTTCGCGTGGACGTGCACGCCCAACGTACACTGGATCGTGCCCATCCTCTCCGGTGTCCCGTTCGGGGCAGGCAACGTGACTGTGTTCATCTACGCCAGTAACTACATGGCCCGCTCGTACGGGATCTACACGGCCTCGGCATTGGCGGGCAACATGCTCATCCGCAGCATTATGGGAGCGTGCCTGCCCCTGGCCGGACCTTCCATGTATGCGACGCTGGGGTTGAACTGGGCGAGCACTTTGCTGGGGCTGGTGGAGGCGGCGTGCATCTCCATCCCGGTGGTGTTTTACTTCTACGGGCATCGCATCCGGAAGGCCAGTCCCATGATCCAGGAGATGGAGAGGATGCAGGCCAGGGCGTGATACCGTTACAAGTGGCGCGTGGTGGTGATAGATATAGAATATTGTCTCGCCAATTCCTTTGCCGAGTGATAAAATGAGATGAATATCAAATGGATGTTACTTTTCTGATGTACTGTCCCTCATATGAAGATTCCAGCTATGTGCTAACCTCTTTCGGGTCGACATTGTCGCGGAAGTGAACAAGCCCTAAGCGCAATCCCCTCAGCCTTCACAACTGCAACATTCTGCGGAGAGAGATGAGGATCCAGTTGGTTGTGTATTATTCAAATAAACTAGAAGTGGCAATGCATCACACTCGTCGGCATACAACCAAATTTGAAATAGGATCGTAAAAATGTAACTGCATATCACTGTGCTCTACTCCGGCGTTATGGATCGCAGGTTGGTAAGCATATACCATGTATCAATCAGTGTTCTGCGAATTCCTTAATCAATAGAGTCTCCTTGAGGAAAGAATTGAGTTTATAGGGGTATTTGGTGCATAAGGCCGGACAGTCAGGTTTTCTGACGGCTGTTCCTACACTGCGAAACAACGCGATGATTTGAGGTACTCAAAGCATGAGTAGTATAATATTGTGTCTGTGGTCAATTCTCTCTCATTTACACTGCTTTCATTATAGCCAGTCTGAGCTTTCGCATCCTAGTGAATAAGCCATTTATCTGTTGGTTAAAAGTCCTCACATACAAATTATTTACCGATTCCGTGGAAACGGGTGTGGCCGATGTTTGTAGTCTCCACCATTTGTCAACATCCCAATTCCTCCCACCTACCGGCATCCCACCTGCCGGAATTCCACCCGCCTGACGTAAAGGCTTCTTAGTCACTTGGAGCTAATGACAACCCCTGCAGGATTGATAACCAACTCTAATCTCCGGAGATCTTAAGCGGGATGCCGGCCAAGTAATCCACATAGCGGGCTCAACTTGACAAATCTGTCATGAACTTAGATCAGCATTGAATTTTTGACCTCACGGTTCGAACCTATAAGTACCTCGATCGGACACACTCACTCGACTCTACCAGCATTGCCAAGTTCTCACAACCTGGGTAAAGTCCAGCTCTCTCTCTCTGTTTACCTTCTCGAACAACAATGGCCCCCACCCTGAACATCACCCACATCGGCACCGCCACCGCCATCCTCGAGATCAATGGGGTCAACTTCCTCACCGACCCGTTCTTCTCGCCTGCCGGCACAGAGTTCCCATCCGGCCACATCGTGCTCCGCGTCGAAGACGACCCCGCGCTGCGCCTGGACCAGCTGCCCGTCATCGACGCCGTCCTCCTCAGCCACGAAGACCACGCTGACAACCTCGACCCGCCGGGCCGCCAGCTCCTCGACGCGCGCCCGGTCTTCACGACCGTCGACGGCGCGCGCAACCTCGCCCCGCGGCCCGCCGTGCACGGCATGAAGCCCTGGTCAACCATCACCACGCGCATCGCCGGCCAACAGTTCACCATCATCGCCACGCCGACGCAGCACGTCCCCGGCGCCGAATGCACGGGGTTCCTCGTCACGGCCGAAAGCTTCGGCCGGGGCCGCGACAACCTGCCCAACGCCATCTACTTCACCGGCGACACGGTCTACATCCCGGAGCTCGAGCAGATCGCGGCCCGGTACCACGTCTGCGCCGCGGTGATGAACCTGGGCAACGCGCACGTGTCGATGCCGGAGGACCCCGAGGGCCCCAAGCTGCAGATCACGATGGGTGGCAAGGATGGCGCGCGGCTGTTCCGCGCGCTGCGGGCCGACGTGCTGGTGCCGATGCACTACGAGTCGTGGGGCCATTTCACGCAGTTCTGGAAGGAGCTGCGAGAGGTGTTTGAGGCGGAGGGGATCAGTGAGAAGGTGCGCTGGTTGCGGGGCGGGGAGAAGGTGGCGGTGCTGTAGGCATTTCTATCGGTTGATGTATGTTTCGTGGCTACACCAGAATGGGTTTATAGACTAGTTGGGGATAGACAATACTTGGGATCTATTGTGTCTTGTTTGAGATTTGTAGCTTGGTGAAAGTTATATGCATGATGCTCATGGCCCTCTTCGTGTTGTCGCGCCATTGAGCTCTCCTTTGTATTTCGTCTGTCGCGACATGTAGTAGTCTGCAGGGTAAATTTCAAATTCCAGCTCCAAGGGTTGCCTGTCCATACCATCTAACCAATCAAATCATAATATACCAACATTGGCAATCCTCGGTATCAGGGTCTAGATCTTCGCTGCATGGCGGCTCACTCAGCATAACCCCACCGCACTGAGTCAGGGGGTCACGTCTAGCCCTAACGGCTCATGGGACAGAGGAGATTGAAGGGTGCGTGATTATCGCAACAAAACGTTCCGTGTCTTGGTGTCATTTGCTTTGTTATCGCAAGGGTGGAGACAACCCCACAGTGGTCGTGGAACTGCTTGTTTCAAGTAGCGGTTCAGATATTGCCAAGTCATCGATGAGCGTCAATCTTTCGCCTGAGGAATATCTTCTGCGAGATTTCGAACGGGGCAGCACAGGCTTGACTTTCCAACCCGGCGAGCTCTAGACATTCACTTGACTGCAATCGGTAGGCATCTCAAGAAAAACCCAGAGCTGTGTCGTTTGCTTTGAGATGGTCCTCGCTGAATCTGCCGGGTCGAATCCAGGTTTCCGCTCGGCGCATCATCGCAGCTCAAGAATGGTGGCAAAGAGGAAGATGCACTCCTCGAAGAGCCACAACTAATGCATACGCTGTAACCAACAAGCAAGCAGCAAGCATGCAACCCACGACACCAGCACAGCCCCTCGCACTCTGTCCCCCCTTCCCACACCTCACAACACCTAGCATCACCGAACCCTCATTCCAGCGCTGCACAACCCACAAATACATCAGTCCCATCCCAAACATGCTAATCAAATCACACAAACACCCCAGTCAATCCATCCAGCTCACTCACCCTCACCCTTTTCCCGTTTCCTCAAAACCACCAAAACCTCATACCCCGTCACCCCCACCTCCTCCCCCAGCTCTTCCCCGACCCAAACCCCCTCATCAAAACACCCCACATAATCCCCCCAATCCGCCCTCGGCCCCAGCCACACCACCATCCGCACCGCACCACCACCACCACCACCACAACCCTCAACCCCATCCAAATACCGCCTCACCAACGCAGGCTCCCGCGGATACACGAACATCCACGCGGCCGCGCGCGCCGCCCGCGGGAGGAGATCCCACGTCCCCTGCACGACATTCATATCCAACTCGTCGATGTACCGGTTGACGGCGGCGCTCACCTCCACCCCTTCCACCGTCACAGTCGCGTGGCGGAGCGTGATCAGCGCCTCCAGCAGGCCGGAGCCGCTGCCGATGGAGAGGGTGAAGCCCGGGTGGGCGGGGAGGATCGTCCCCAGGTAGGTGACTAGGGTGCTGGAGAGGGCCAGGCAGCAGGTGGGGTAGGCGTGGGGGGTTGGGGAGAGGTGGCCGGAGATTTGCGGGAGGTCCATTTTACACATAGATATTTTGCTCCTTGCTTGCCTGGGGCATGGGTTGTGCTTGTGGGGGGTTTTGGGGAGTAGTATTGTTAGGTGTGTACTGGATGTATGTACACCTGGGGTTGGGGAGGGAGGGGATTGTTGAGATAAAGTTGGGGGGCCTGTGGGCTTGTTTCGGATTCTGGTGGCGTTTTTTGAGAAAAGAAAGGGGGATTTGGGCTCAGCTGGTGGAATGTGGTGGCTCAGGGCTGTGGATTTGAGTTTCTGCGTTAAGTTGTTTAATTGCAGATTCGGTGTGGCGCGAGTGGTTTTTTGGGGGACGACCGGGGCCGGGGATGGGATTATCCGGTGGGTGATGCCGGGGGTGGGTTATTTCCACTTGCTCTAGTGGTATTTCCACTTCCAGATCTTGGAGTCAGGGTAGAGCTCCGGTGAAGTTCGGTAATGTGGAAAGTGAGCATGTAAAGATAGTATCGAGGGCAGGCAGAGCCCCAGAGCCCTGTGGCTATGTTGAGTGCTTCTATGTGCGCCCAAATTCTATAAATGATTACGTGAGACAGGAGTGCTAAATGAGCATCGCGTCTCTGCTATACCGCCATGACAATCGGGTTGACAAACTTCGCATTCCACAATCACTTCGATACATCGTCTAGAAAACAGCGAGGAAAGAGTCATATATGCAAGTAATCATTGCCCAGCTCTATATATACAATCTTCTAAGTTACATCGCCTCACGGAATCTCCTCATACACCCGATCCGTCAACAAGGGCGGCTCCAGGAAATCCGAGGGCACCGTCTCTGGCAGCTGGTTCTTCTCCGCCCATTCCCGAATCTCCTCAAAATTCCGGCACTGGTGCTTCGTGTTGAAGTCCACAAAGGGCTCCGGGTGCTCCGGATGCACCCAGACTTGGCCGAGGACGCCGACGTCGAGACTGCACATGAGCTCCTGGCGGAGGACGTCGAGGCAGTGCGCTGCGGTTGTCAGTCCAGGGTCATTTTGTTCAACGATGAGAGTTCACTTACAGACGTGGTGTCGAACAATGAAATCGTCGTTGGTGAAGGCACCGGTGCCGAGGTTGTGGTAGTAGTCGTAGTTGTAGTAGAGGGATTGGCGGAGGAGGTTCTGTTCGGGTTAGCTTCACAGCCGTAACAGTGCAGTGCCAGACATACCAGGCAGTGCAAATGATGAAAGCCCTCCACGTTGGCGGGATATCCCCCGCCATATTTCTCCCGGATCTTGACTTGGTCCTTCGCCAAGCCGGATTTCTGGGCATCTTCGACGGGGACCCGGATCGCTCGGACTGGGGTCGGGTCAGTATGTGGCCACATGCAGCAGGAGGGGGTTAAATATACAGTTGGCACCGAGAGATTCCCAGGCTGCGTCCACTTCCGGGCTCGCATCTTGCCGGAAGATATTTTGCTTCAGCAGGGAGCCGTTGAAGGGTTGTTGGTGGTACTTGAGGCCAACTTGGCCGATGACAGGTGCTGCGATCGCGTTAGCTGGGTACTGAATCCATCTCTGCACATGACACTGCATCTGGAGTATTTCCTGAACATTCTCCAGTGTGGATAGACTTACAGTACTGTGTGGTCCGCCGCGTGCACGACTCATCCAAGTCCCTCTGATTGTGTCCGAGGAAGACTCCCACCAAACACGACAGAACCGCAACAGCAACCACGAACAGAACTTGTAACCACCCTCCGAGAAACGGTTTGGAGGAAAAGTTATTTTGCGACCACTGAGTAGCCTCCTCGTCTATGAGGAGCCTCTCCCTGTCGGTGGAGGTGGAGCGCTCGGAAGACGGCATTTTGTCCTCGAAGGAGCTGTTATCTCTGGGGAGGTTCATCGTGGAAACAGCCAATCTAGATTTAAAAGGGAAGCCCAACAACATGCAGAAAGAGAAAAGAATCTTCAGGAAAATGGGAGTAGATGTGAGAAAGGCGATCAGGCGGGATGTTTATTCTTAGCCTTGAACCAGCCAAGTCGAATGGCCTGAGGTGTGGATATCAGCTTCTTGGGGGGGGTCTCCGTGACCCTCCGCTGCTAATAATATCCCATCTTAGACTTTCAACTGCCATCGATTGCCATCAATATGTGACTGACGGAGGTGTGACTTGGAAAGTAAGACATGGCCAGTGCATGGTGCCCCGTCGACGGGAAGGCCGCTCATTTGCTCCAAGTGAGACATCCGCCGCTTAGCCGCATGTCTGTCTCATATTCGGTTGTTGCTGTGTTGCCCGCCTTACAGCCCAGCTCCGCATTCTTTCAACAGCAAAGCCGAGAAAGCCCATCTGAGACATGACGCAAAGATGCCTTACTTTCCACTTGCCTCCAAATCCTGCTTCTAGCCTGTTGCATCTTAAGTTTGCTTGTCGACATCATTCACTAACCCTCCCCCCCCCCCCGCTTCGGACCATTTCCTTCGTCCGACCGAGGCAATGTCCGACTTCCCTCCTCCTCCTCCCACCTGCAGAGAGGCTCATCTCTCGGCTTGCAGAATAATCTGAGTCAATTCTACATTGGTGCTCCACGGGACAGAGTGTGAGGCAAGCAACATGTAACCGGGACCCCCGATGGATCCCATTTGCTCCTCATCATCTTGTGATTGGCATAAGCTGGGTTCTTGGCCTCTCTTCACACATCCATGCGATGGTACAATCCGAGACGTGGCCAATCAGTCTGTTTACTGACCTGTAGGTTGCCTTCCCCACGCCGGTCGATAGACTGCACTCTAGCAGACCGTCTGCTGTAACTGCTTTGGCTGCGGATGTTTCTTTCTCCTGCTGCTAATTATGGATCATCAGGAGGATGAAAGAAATCTCGCAGACGCAGTTATAAATACAGCCTGCGATCCGGCCTTTGCCTTGCAGTTCCCCAACCACCCATCTGCAGTTGTCCTAGATCTCCTGTCCCTCTCCCCTCTTCAGTCTTGAGACGTCCACACACCATGCATTCTCTTTCCAAGAGCCTCCTGCTCGTCCTGGGCAGCAACATGCTGGGCGTGAGCGCCGCTCCGGTGGCCGAGGCCGCCACCTCGACCGCTACCACTGCTGCCACCACCACCACTGCCCCCGCTAACTATGGCAACTACGGCAACTACGGCAACTACGGTGCCTATGGCAATTACCAGAACTACAAGCGTGCTGACGCGGATGAGGCTGCTGCTTCCTCTTCGACCTCCTCGGCCGCCTCCACCACCACTGCCGCGGCCAACTACGGCAACTACGGCAACTATGGGGACTATGGCAGCTACGGCAACTATCAAAACTACAAGCGCGATGCCGATGCCTCCAGCGCTTCGACCACCACCACCACTGCCCCCGCCAATTATGGCAACTACGGTAACTACGGCGACTACGGCAGCTATGGCAACTATCAGAACTACAAGCGTGAGGACGAGTCGACCACCGCTGCTCCTGCCACCACCACCACCACCGCGCCCGCCAGCTATGGTAACTACGGTGACTATGGCAACTACGGAAACTACCAGAACTACAAGCGTGAGGACGAAGAGTCGACCACCTCTGCTGCTGCCAGCACCACCACCGCCGCCCCGGCCAGCTACGGCGACTACGGGAACTACGGCACCTACGGCAACTACGGCTCGTACAAGCGCGACGAGCAGCCCGAGGAGGAGAAGGAGGAAGCCTCGACCATCGAGGCTGCCCCAACCACCACCGCGCCCGCTAGCTACGGCGATTATGGCAACTACGGTAACTATGGTAACTACCAGAACTACAAGCGCGACGAGAGCTCCTCCAGCACCACGAGCTCCGCCGCTAGCACTACCACCACCACTGCCCCCGCCAGCTACGGCGACTACGGCAACTACGGCACCTACGGGAACTATGGCTCGTACAAGCGGGAGGAGGAGCCCGCCGCCAAGGAGGCAGAGGACGCCTCTTCCGCGACCTCAACCGCCACGGCGAGCGCCACCACCGCCCCGGCCGGCTACGGGGACTACGGAAACTACGGCAACTACGGCAACTATGGGACCTACCAGAACTACTAGAGTCTGACGTTTCAAGGCCATGAAAGAAAGAAAGGTGGGGGACATGAACCTAATGATTGTGTAGAGTTGCTCTTTCGGAAGAGGACAAAATGGGTGTGACGTGACAAGGGCCCGGGAACGATGACACGACCCTCCGGGTGTACGCCGTACTTCTATGTGTACTCATCGGGAACAGGAGGTCAATCCTGGTAATGTGGATCGCAGATGCTCGGTCTTTTCTTTTCTTCTGTATTTAGCTTAGATTCGTGAGCATTGAATACTGAACCTTGATAATACGATCCAAGTACTGTGCCTTTTCTGTTTGTCGATCCGGCCGGGCATTGATGATGTCACGTGATTTAGGCCTACCATGGTGCGAGCTTATGTGTGCTCTCTTCGCCGCATGATGCATCAGCCTCATGGTTCTATTTTTGTGGTGGAGGTCAGCTCAAGCTGCTCAAAGTTAACTCGTCTCCAAAGTTTGTTGTGTTGATCCACGGTACTTGTTGTGTGTCGGAACATAACTGGGGCTTGCGGGTGCAACAGAAATATATGTGGAAGGTAAACGAGCAAGCCGACGCACCGAACAGCTTGCCTAAATCGTACGGTCCAGCACCTCGACCATAAACCTAATAATATGAGGGTATCATCTGCCTCAACAATCAACATGGGATAAGCCTCGCAGGAATGTGCTGTGACAGGTTTGGAGACAAAAAGTAAAAAAAAAGCAAGTCGTGCAATGAGACAAGCAGCACAAGCTTTCCGGCGTTCACCGTGTGACAAGCTTCCGTGCGAAAGTCAACCAAACATGATCATGATGAGTAAAAAGACAGATTTACGCAGATGATCCAAGATTTTCCTCCCGCCGATCTGGAATCGAAATTGGGGAATTGGGCCAGCAAAATGTAACTTCCACACAGCACAAGTGTGCCACTTTGGTGTGGCCGGCAATTGGGTCGTCAGGGCCGATCCCGCTCCCCGCTTCCCCATATAATAGGCTCGAGGGAAGGGGGATTTACTTGGTTGAATGGGTTGCGTGGATCCTGAGCTCGCCACTCTTCCTGTCCGTGAGATCGGTCGCGTAGAGCTGGGTTACTGCCATGTGTAGCAAGAGATGTAGGTTTCCATCGGATTGTTCGAGTGCTTGGCTGATTCAACTACTTATTCGAAATGTACGGAGTAGAGTTAGGAATTCTGCTGCCAGAACCTAAGGCCCATCAGGGCACATCGGCTAAACTCCGACCGCGATCGGGGTGGCCCGCGGTCAGCTGACCCGCACCAGGCGGTTGTCTTCCGCTTTAGACGGGACGGGATTCTGCCGCCTTTTCACAGTCAGGTAGCTCTTACCGCTTTCAGATAGACCTGGCTGCTGATATCACGCGCAACGCGCTATTGGTTTGGACTATATATACCTGGAACTAATATCTTTGGATTTGTTTGAAGTGTAGATGATGAATTGTTAGATATGTAGTAAGGCACAAAAGAAGGCTGCTACCATTTACCTTTACTGTGTAACGGACAGTTGCCTGCAATGGGCTCAGCAGAATTCTCTGTTTTTGGTTGACATTGACTCGTGGGATCACTATAATCACTGTAGTGAATATAGTAGACCACTAGCCTTTAGTCCCAATGATCTTCTCTTCCAGACCACTTCTAGCCTGAGGTGATTCCCTGGCGGCAGGAACAATGACGACTCGGAATCTCACCGAGAGAGGGAAACGGGAAGGATGTATACCCAGCGATTGGCCCTATCAGTTGAGTACGCCGTTGCAAAGCTTAGTTCGGTTCAGAGTCTGCTAAGACTAGCATCTAGATTCGGAAGCTATCCGAAGATCTCCACTAAATGCCTTCTAAGCGCGGTGAGGCCGCGTCACTGCACTATAAACTAGCACAGATCAGTACCTAGATGCAGTATCTATCCCGTATCTGGGTAATCTCATTGGCCTCACTAAGATATCGTAGCATCTCACGCACATCCAGGCTGGTGTACTAGTGGGCCGGATCGAGCCTGTCGGTCATCAAAAGTCATTAGTAGTGATCTCCTGAGCTGGAATGCAAATTGGAATAGTTAGGCAGCCATATTAGTATCAGTTGCTGTCTTTATTATCGGAGTGTTGGACTGGAATAAGGGTATGTTATACCCCGTCTCCTTCAGGTTTATTCCATCCTCACTCCAGCTCCGCATCATTACGTCTTGTTCGCTACCATTGATTCGGCCATTTTCCCCACGCATGTAAGAAAGCAGCCGGCCATGATCCCGATATCAAACATCTTGTCAGTGGCGCTAATCTTGCAAATTTGCAGAAACTCTGGAATCGATATGGATCTGCTCCAGCTTGCTTGCATTTGCGTTATCGACCTCTGCGCCCTATACCACCGCTACACCGACGGACACTGGTCGAGACCGGCACTCTCCTGTGTGGCATTCACGCATGTCGGTCTATTGATCCATGTCTTGCTGGAAACGCTGAAACAACATATGAGGTGATGACTTCACCAATTCATCGTCAAAAGCCATCTCAATGTGAAGGCCGGGCTCGAGATCTGGGAGTACTTGGCCGGGGTCATCAAGTCCGTTCGACGTCAATTCCTGCACCTTGACCTATGGGGCGGATGTAGGTTGGTCGAAGGTACTGGGGTATGCGTACAAGGCGACGTGTCAACCACGGCGAAAGGTGCGTGACGGTGCTGCATGACAGTGGCACCGCTGTTGGATGCTGTGAGTTTGGACATGGAGGCGCATGGCACGTTCATCTGCGCTTGAGTGCGGAAGCAAGTGTTTACCCTGTGCATTCGGTGAATTGTTGAGTTTGATAGACTGTGGGTATGTAGTATCTAGCACACTTTCTTGAGAGTAGCCTGATCACCATTGTTCTTACTGATTTGAAATGATCAATTGTTTCTATCTTCGAGTCTGCTATCCTGCACCCCATCGGGACGCAACACTAGTTCTCACGCATCACGAATGAAACGAACAACATGTATGATAGCCGCTCCAACAGAGTGGAGAGGTTACATAATTCGAGCACTGCAGGCTTGATGAGTACAGCATCGCACGTTGTCGATGCTTCCCCAGATGAAACCATCCATCCCATGCCATATGAGGCTTTAATCTGATCAGTATCCCTGACTGGTTTATCCACTTTCTCTCATTGACTCAGGGTTGAGTGGGCTGAAGTGGGTCTTATTCCTGAAGAACAGGTTTGCCCTCCAATCACCAAATGCTGTCGAGTATTAGCAGCTGCGACGCCATCGGTGGAAGTAAGTAGTAAAGTATGCACCATCATTGCTCTCCTCTTTTTGGCAGGAGAAGTAAAGAAATTTAGAGGAACGAGTACTCCATCAATCGTCATGATACCGACCTTGAACTGGGTCGGACCCGGAATGGAAGCCTGATCGGCGACCGGTGGAGTCGATCCAGATTGCAGTCGCTGGGTCAGAGCTGCTGATCTTGCTGTAGCAAAACTCACTCTTGACAAACTACCCCACTGGGTTGTCTCTATCCCACATGGTTTCAATCGAAGGGCTAATCATATAAGATCAAAAACAACTAAAGGCAATGACTTCAGATCATATTGTCTCAGTCTCTTTTTTCTTGTTTGTTCTAATACTCTGGTTCAAGGAGAGTCTTTCGAGATCTATTTTCTGAATGAGAGAATACATAAAGAGTTTCTCTTATTTAGAAATTACTATTAGTAGTTTAGAAAACATCTTAGGTAACTAATAGATCTTTTCCCAATGATCAATGACTAGGGCCTCAACCTCTATTATTCTTAGTAAGATTAGTCGAATACTACGGACTAAAACATCTTCGAATTTTGGACATGAAAGAGAAAAGGCAAGCCAATCTTAACCAAACATGACAAATGGCAGGCCCGATCTCGCCGACTCGCCGAGCGACAGCAAGACCTCGTATTTCCCCGTCCCCACCCAATCACCCAAGAGCTACAGAGTAGTTAAGACTTGAGTGGCCGCGAGAGCGGCATCGGAGTCCGCCGCGGGGAAAGCCGAGCGCCATCCAGGCTAGTAAGACTAGACCACATCCCATCCCCAGGAATCATCGTCCAGCTGCAGAGACTGAGCTGTGACTTGGTGACCACAGGCGGGAGAGGGGAAAGATGACTCGATCGGCAATGGTAGCTTGCCCATAGCGCATCATCTACTCTGGATCTGTACGGAATGGTTGGTTCATGCACAAGGTTCGTCTCCACCGCCGGGGTCGGAGAGCAACACATTTTTTGGGCAAGGATTAAGGGAATCATCGTCTCTCAGCTGGCCCCAGTGCGCCTGTGAGTCGATCGCTCATTTAAATACATTGGCGCCCGTACGTGAGTCGCAATGATGACTCTTTGCTTTTTTCTCTCTCTTCCTTTTGCTTTTTCTTTCGTTTTTCCTAGATATATCGGTACCCCCTCCATCCCGTAGACCTCGGTAGCAACCTGCATTCACCCCTTGCTGCGTACGCGCATTAGACTATGGTCGTGGATGGTGAGCTCCCTTTCTCCCCCGCCTCAGCAGCCATCGCAAAATATTGCGATCGTCTTTCTGTCTCCTGCGATCGCAACCCACTGACCACTTTTCTCCCCTTTTTCCCATGACTGCAGAAAAACAACCCGTGGACAACGGCGACCTGACGCCGGAGCCCTCGCAATATGGCACCGTCAACGAGCGCAAGCTCATGGCCAAGATCGACTGGCATGTGGTGCCGTGCCTGTGTGTGATGTATCTCCTGGCGTTTCTGGATCGGTAAAGACCCCCCCCTTCTTTTGTGCGCGCGCATGCTCGTTGCTCTCTGACACCAAGGAATCGCGCAGTGTCAACATCAGTAACGCGGCGGTCCTGGGCCTCGAAAGCGACCTCCACATCACGACGGGCACGAAATACAACACCGCCCTGACGATCTTCTTCGTCCCGTACATCATCTTCGAGATTCCTTCCAATGTGTTGATGAAGAAGTTGAAGCCGCATACATGGCGTACGTTAACTCAAAACACCACGGAAATCCACTTGCGCAATTGAGTGCTGATGCGATGTTTCTTCTGGGGTATAGTCTCGCTGTGTATGTTCGGTTTCGGCCTGGTGATGGTATGTCAAGGTTTCGTGCAAAATTGGGGGGGATTGATGGCCACGCGCTGGTTTCTGGGCATGTTCGAGACGGGATTGTTTCCTGGGTGTGAGTTTCTCTCACGCGTGGGCTTTTTCTTTTTCATACTGATCGCCCGGCTCAAACAGGCTTCTATCTCCTGGGAATGTGGTACAAGCGCAGCGAGGCGCAGAAGCGGTTTAGCTTCTTCTTCAGCTCGACGACGCTGGCCGGCGCGTTTGGCGGGCTGCTGGCGAGCGGCCTCGGCAAGATGGACGGGGTGCGCGGGCTGGCGGGCTGGCGGTGGGTGTTCATCATCGAGGGGATCATCACCTGCGTCGTCGCCATGGGCTGCTTCTTCGTCGTGCCGGACTTCCCCGAGGACGTCAAGTGGCTCACCCCCGAGGAACGGGAGTTCCTGCGCGACAAGCTGGCGCAGGACGCGGGCAAGTCGGCAGTCGATGTGAAGACGGGCTGGCGCGATATCCTGGCCGTGTTCAAGGATTGTATGTGCTTTCCCGGAGAGATGGCTTGTGCGTGTGCGGTGCAACTGACTGGACGAACTGCAGACAAGATCTTCATCGGTGGATGGATGTATTTCGGCCAGGTGGTCACGGCTTACGGTATGTCTTATCCTGGAGGTGTTCTGGGATGGGGACTCTGTCACTAATACGTGCTGCGCGCAGGATACGCGTACTTCGCGCCGACCATCATCAAGACGTTTGGCTACGGAGGTATGTTGTCATGTTATCCCCACCATTTACACCAGCATGCGCATGCGCTGACCCACCACCGTGTGTGTAGCCATCAAGACCCAGTTCTACTCCATCCCCCCCTGGGCCGCCGCGTTCGGCTTCTCGATGTGCATCGCCTACCTGTCCGATCGCTTCCAGCACCGCTTCCTCTTCACCCTGCTGCCCATGCTGGTCGCCATGGCCGGGTTCGGCATCCTCATCAACATCCACAGCACCTCGCAGCACCACATCCAGTACGGGGCGCTCTTCCTGGTGACGAGCGGCTGCTACAGCGCCATGCCCGTGCTCGTGTGCTGGTTCGCCATGAACCTGGGCGGCCATCGGCGCCGCAGTGTGGGAACCGCCTGGCAGATTGGATTCGGCAATAGTGCGTGTCTCTTCTCCCTATATCCTCCCCTCAAATATACCGCCAAGAGGTCAGTACTAACCCTAATGGCCATGAACAGTCGGCGGCATCATCTCCACCTACTCCTTCCTATCGAAGGACGCCCCCTTCTACCGCAACGGCTATATCATCGGCGTCTCCTTCCTGGCCTTCTCGGCCGCCATGTCCTGCTTGTACTTCCTGGCCATCTGGCACGACAACCGCAAACGCGACCGGGCGATTGCGGAGGGCACGGTCGATCTGAACGCCATCACCGAGGCCGAGGAGGAGTATATGGGCGATATGGCGCCGACGTATCGGTATGCTTATTAATCTGCGCTCGAGTATTAGTTATGGGGGCTTTGCTTCTGGATGAATCTTTTTGGTTTCCTGTGTTGCACAATAATAATGAGAAGGGGTTGGCATGAGAGCCGGCCGATGTCGGCGTGTATGATTCATGAATGAAAGATTAGACTGGACTGGCTTTGCTTGCTTTAGCTGTTTTGGGGATAGAAGGGCGGAGATTGCCGATGCCCGTGTACACAGTTGGGGAATGTGCTCACCGGGGGCGGGTCAGCTTGGACCGAGGTCCGGAATGGGGCGGAGTTATGCGCTTATGCGGTGAAGCTCTCATGCAGCTGACTCACCTCGTAAGTTATGCATGCATCAACGTGAGAGTGTCGCATTGTGGGCTCCCAACTGTTATGCAATAAAGTGTTACATGAGGTAGATTGTTGGGTGATGAGTAAAGCTGGTAGGATGTTATGGGCTGCAATGTACATACTGGCTTGCACTGGTGGCAGATAATCTGCATATCCAGCAAGGTAAGAACCGAGTGTTCACTGTGAGAAATCCGTAGGGACAGTACGGAAAACATGAATGGGTTGGTGATGATTTCAGCCGGCATATATCCAACCTAATTGCCCACCATACGCGTGTCCAGACAGTTTAGCCGTTGCCAGTGGAGATCACCAATGACCCCATTGCGAGTCGCCATCCCGCAGCGCGATGGCGAATCCAGCTTGTTCGGGAATACCGGTAATAGTCATACAACCCTTGACCTCGCTTAAATCCCCTGATACATATGGTGCCAGCCTTCTGCAGGCTTTTCCGGGACCTGCAGGTCAGAGTTTCGAATCAAGTCATGGATAGGGGTAAGAGCTGGACAACCAAATCTGTGTCGAGTGACTCGTCAGATCCAAGGATCGGTTGCGGCAACTCCAAGCCGACACCCAGGCATTCAGCGGAACAAGTCATACCCCGTCTAAAGGGTTGCGGAAGAGTTAAATCTTATCTTATCGATTGCAAGCATCGAGGCTGGATATGAAGCGCAACAGGTTCTGCACGACCAAGCGACCTCGTCCCGAAGCCCTCATCGCGGGAGGATATCGCGTAATCGCGGCTAGCGATGGTACAATGCACGGCCACGTCAAATCAGAACCATATTAAAATGCATCCGGTTGTATATCGTGCAGAAGCGAGGTGTTAGCCTCTGCGTAGTTCACCGTGAGCAATGAGGAAAAAGTGTTGCTGGATGATGCCATTTCATCAACAGCTGGCAGGCGCGAAGGACATCTCCATTCACTGTAGCAGCGGTATACTCACACGGAAACAAATATAAACCACGCGACGACGCAGGCATTCCGATGTGAACCTTCCACAACACCAAGCAAGCACCTTGTCCATACCCCCCGGCCACCATGGCCTCCATCCTGCTCCTCCTGGCCGCCGCAGCCTCCGCCGTCCTCGCCGATGGCCAATACCGCTCGCGTCCGGACCTCTCCCCGCCCCAGCTGAACGTCACCGTCGAGGCCCCCGACGCCAACGGCACCGAGTACGTGTTCGTCGCGCCGTACGGAGGCTCCCTCGCGCAGCCGGGCGCCTACATCTACCGCAAGAACGGCGACCTGATCTGGTCCGGCATCGGCTACTACGCGGGCTTCGTGGGCAACTTCCACCGCACCACGTACAACGAGCAGCCCGTGCTGCAGGCCTTCCAGGGGACCATTGATAAAACCCATGGCGAAGGCTGGGGGTACCAGGTGCTCTTGGATCAGAGCTACCAGCACGTCGCCACGGCCAAGGCGGCCAACCACCGCGTCCCCTCCATCCACGAGTTCAATGTCATCGATGGGAAGACCGCGTTGGTGGAGGTGTACACCCCTACGCCCTGGAACCTGTCGGCATATGGGGGGAACGCGTCGCAGCAGTGGATTGGAGATGGGTATTTCCAGGGTATGTCCTTTCAATGCAGCCTGATGAGAGACGAGTAGACTGGAGTAACACCGCTGCGCAGAATTCGACATTGCAACCGGCGACCTGATCTTCGAATGGAACGCGCTCGACCACATCGACCCCGCTGGTACGTATCCCCAACCTTTCTCTTTCGTAATCGTCATACCAAACATCAACTAACCCGGACCGAAACAGAAAGCCTGATCACCCTCGCCTCAGCCGCGGCCGACAGCGCCCTCACCGCCTCGACAAGCTGGGACTTCATCCACATCAACAGCGTCGACAAAGACCGCGAGGGCAACTACCTCGTCTCGTCCCGACACCTCTCGACCATCTTCAAAGTAAACGGCACCGACGGCCGCATCCTCTGGCGACTCAGCTATTCCAACCCCTCCACCTTCACTCTGCCCACCGGCTTCGCCTTCGGCTTCCAGCACCACGCCCGCTGGCACGCCCAGTCCGCAACCAAAGAGACCATCTCCTTCTTCGACAACTCCAACGCCGGCACGGGACTAGTGTACCACAACGTCTCGCGCGCGCTCGTCGTGGAACTCGACCTCCACACCAAGACAGCGACGGTGCTGCGCGAGGCGCCCGCGCCGTACGGCATCAGCGCGGCCTCGCAGGGCGACGCGCAGTTCCTGGCTGACGGGCGCGTCTTCGTGAACTGGGGGTCGGCGGGCGCGATCACGGAGTTTGATGCCGACGACGAGGTGGTGTATCATGCGTGGATCGCCGAGGAGGGGATGAGTTATCGTGGATTTCTGGGCAATTGGATGGGGACCCCCGCGGAGGAGCCGGCCATCGTGGCGTATCTGGATGGCAGTGCTAAGCGGGATGCGTTGAGGGTGTATGTGTCCTGGAATGGGGATACGGAGACGGTCGGGTGGCGGTTCTATGGGCTCGGTCTGGGGACGGGGAGGAATGCCACGACCTCCGGGCCGGTGTTTCTGGGCCAGGTGGCGAGGAGTTCGTTTGAGACGGTGTTGGTCACGGATCGGGTCGCGGTGGCTGCGTCCACGGGCAGGGTTTATGCTGTCGCGGTGGGGAAGGAGGGGGGTGTTTTGGGACGGACGAGGGCGGTGCGTGTGCAGGAGTGGGTGGCCTTGGGTTGAGGGTGGTGTTTCTGGTGAAAATTGGTGAAATGAAGAAAAGTGTTGAGAGTTGTGTTATGATTGATGCGAGAACGAGGTGAAACTGGTTTGGGTTGGGAGTTCAAATATCGGACTTATACTACTGGCTTCTGTTTCTGTGTCTTTGAACACGCCTTTTCATACTCGACCACCACTTTATCCGTTCGGTTGATCTGACCCATTGCATAACCCTGGTTCCGTATCTCCCTTGGTAGAATGTTGTGCTCACTGCCATTCTTTAAAGTCCCAATGTTGGTCATCAGCAGCTCATCGTGCGTGAGCATGTAGTTCATCGGCTTTCTGAACGGGCGGTTGCGCGAGGTGGCGAGCTCGATCGCGTTGCCCTTGTAGTACCGCTGGAGGGAACTCCACGAGCGTCGGCCGCGGACCATCTCGTAGAGTCGGTCGAGGGTCAGAATGCTCGAGGCCATGATAATCACGTTCGATTCGATGCTGAGTTAGGAAAGATGCTTAGTCCTGCCCTACATGAACTGATGCGTGAGGGTAGGCTTACCTGGTCCAGATGACGAGGTCGGCGGTTGCATCTAGGTCAGCGTTAGAGATGGAATAGTCCCTGTTTCAAATTCGTACTTACACGTCGAGTCCGTCGTGTCATAAAGCCCAGGGAGCTGGTTACACTTGACGATGGCCATTGCACACGCGCCCGCGTGATGAGCAACATTAGCTCGTCCACAAAGAAAGAGGCGTTTCCAACTCACATGGCGCCGAATCCCAGCGCCGCACATAGGGCGATCTTCTTTTTGAGCGTCATTTGCAGCGACGAGAGAACGACCGTGGGATACACCGCTAGCTAGAGGTCGGCACAGGCTGAGACAACTATATCGGACTTGTAAGTTTGGCGCACGTTTGTAGCACTAAGATGAAATGTGCATGCGTGTGGGTGTAAAAGCAGACAGGGAATCGAGCTGCGAGGGAAAGGACGCTTTCCTCGTCCGCGTACTAAATGTGTAATCCCTGATAGATTCAAGTCCATAGACTGAAACCATGTTTGCTTTACTCGGTGGATGCGGTGCACTTGATTGCAATCATACGTTGGAGGTGCTCCTCTGTCGCTGACTGGTCGCCTCGTCCGGCTAATCTCAAATATAGCGCTGTCAGCGACCAGCGAAGGCCGGTCCTCCGGCTAGTGTGCTGTCTCGATATCAAAGGCTGCTGCCGTTGAGCCGAGCCCGGTGGGCCGAACGGGAGGATTTAATCTCAGATCCTAGTCGAGTTTCCACCCGGTTCAGCCGATACACTCCTAGAGCCAGACTACGTCCAGTCCGTTGTGAACTAAGGATTTAACCCTTACTAGTAAAAGGACTACCTAGCTGGCACGTGACATTCCCCTTATATACAGAGCATTTCTGACTGCTGATTGAGCCGTCTGCATGGTTCCCCGCCTGTCATATCAATGTGATTAGGGCTAGTTCAGGGGAAGCGTCAGTGTCAACCTGAGCCCTACCCCGACATGGCCGTGCTTATATGCCCGTGCCTGTCTACGCGCTTTTGGTCTTACTCCGTTTTCCAATTGCTTTCCATACCCAGCCTTGTTCTACCTCTGGACACATACCAGCTCTTACCATGCCGCACAAGAACGGTGCACTCAATAAGGAGACCGATGTGGCGCAGCTTGCCATCTCTCCCAATCTTCCCGCCCACCTCCCCTTGCTCCTGAGCCAGATCCATGCCCAAGGGAAGGAATACCTCGACGCAAACCCCCAAACACGGATAGACTTGCTCGAGAGCGCCCGATCTCTCGTGTATGCACTCGAAACCCCCCGGGAGGCGATACTCAGACACTGCTGGTCCGAGGTACGTGTAATACGCACCCTGATCCACCGCGCACAATACTCGAAAGCATTGACATTGTATACTCCGGCCTAGACAACCAGCTACGCCGCCATCGAGACCGGAATCAACGTCGGTCTCTTCACGGCGCTCGGCACGACCGACCAAGCCACGACCGTCGCCCAGCTCGCCAAAACCACAGATGTCGACCCGGTCCTTCTCGGTGCGTTGCCCACATCCCCCCTATGTCCCAACCTAACCGTTTATCACAGGCCGCCTAATCGAACACCTCGCCGCAATGGGCGTCCTCCTCGAAACCGGCAAAGACTCCTACCAACCCACGGGCTTCTCCAAGACCCTAACCGAGCAAAAATACAGCGACGCCTTTCCGCTCATGTACACCCCGCCCAGCCACAAAACCCCACCACCCCCCACCCCCATTACCCCTACTGATGATCACACCCCGTGACAGGACCACTCGCCTCACCCAAGGCTTCCTCGCGCTCCCAGCCTTCCTCGCCCAAACCCACTACGCCAACCCCACCAGCCCCACCGAAACCGCCTTCCAACTCGGCCACCGCACCAGCCTCAACTTCTTCGAGCACGTCCAGCGCGAGACCGACACCGCCCGCCGCTTCAACAACCACATGGGCGTGTACGCGCAGGGCCGGCCACGCTGGATGGATCCGGGCTTCTACCCGGTGCCGCAGCAGCTGGTCGAGGGGGCCGTCCCCGCCATCGGGGACGAGGGCGTGTTGCTGGTCGACGTCGGCGGGAGCTTCGGGCATAATCTCCTCGACTTCCGCCGGAAGTGGCCCGATGTGCCGGGTCGGTTGGTGCTGCAGGATCTGCCGGAGGTGGTGGCGTCCGTGGCGGGGGAGGTGCGGGAGCTGGGGGTGGAGACGATGGGGTATGATTTCTTTACGGCGCAGCCTGTTATCGGTGATTTGGTTTCTTTGGTTCTTTTTGCCGGATGAGGGCGGGGGGTGGAGGGTGATATCGGGGTGGTGGTATGGACCGTACCGTACTAACCGTGAGGAATAGGCGCCCGCGCATACTATCTGCATTCGATCCTGCACGACTGGCCGGATGATCTCTGCCGGAGGATTCTGGCCAATCTGACGGCCGCCATGACGCCGGGGTACAGTAAGTTGCTCATCAATGAGAATGTCATCCCGGATACGGGGGCGTATTGGGAGACGACGAGTTTGGATTTCATCATGATGAGTATTGGGCCTGGGGAGCGGACGGAGAGTCAGTGGCGGGGGTTGTTGGAGGGGTGGGGTTGAAGGTGGTCAAGATCTGGGCGGCGCAGCGCGGCGTTGAGAGTTTGATTGAGTGTGAGTTGGTATGATTCTGTTACCAGCAGGGGGATGTAGTGGGTTGGGGGAGGGTTGATGTTGATTGTGCTCGGGGTGGGGAGTTTAGGGCTGGCGGATGTGGAACATCTATCTATGTACTGTGCTTGCGACTCAGAAGACCAGCTGTGGGGTTTTATACGAGATGAAGGTGCGTCAATCAATGTACTGAGTTCATTCATCATGGCTTGAAAGAACCTCGAGCTGAATGGTCCACCATCAGGGTGGATGCTACACCCCAGCCTGCGCGCGTCTCTGCTCCCGCCGCCAGAACCGCTGCAACACCACCAGCATCAACAACATGCACACATCCAGCGCAATCGTCCAATTATACCCGATCAGATACCGCGGCGCATCCACCGTCTTCCACACCCTATTTTCCACATTAGCCAGGACGTCCATAATACCAATCGGGGCCACCCCGAGGGCACCCCCAGGATACTCACAGCAACGGAATCCACGCCCCAAACGTATTCCCCACCGTATTCATCGCGCTGATCACCAAGGCGCGCTCCTCCGCGCTGCGCGCGCAGATCTCATTCGCCCACGCATAGATGATCGCCGCGATCCCATCCGCCGTGCCCGACAGGAAGAACGCAAAGAACTTCAGGCCGACCGGCACGCGCCAGATCGCCAGCACCACACAGGCGAAGATGTTCAGCCCCGCCGTCGTCGCGATCAGCGCCACCTTCACGTCGTAGATGTCCGACAGCACGCCGCACAGGATCGACGAGACGATCGTCACCGCCGGCGAGACGGTGGTGATCGTGTTGATGCTCTCGACCGAGTAGCCCTCGGCTTTCAGCCACAGCGAGAGGCCGCTGTTCGAGGAGACGCCGTCCGCCTGGGAGAAGAAGAAGGCGAAGCCAACTAGCACCCAGAGGCGCCAGCCCTTGAGGATGGTGAGGATGCGCGGGAGGGTGAAGGGCTGGCGCGGTTGGCGGTGCTCGGCGGCCATGCGGGCTTGTGCCAGGTGGATTTCTTCCGGGGTCAGGAAGCGGGATTTACATTTGTCGGGCGTGCTGGGGAGGAGGCACAGGCCGAGGAAGGCGATGGGGATGGTGCATGCGAAGCCTGGGGTGGTGGTTAGGATTGAGGCGAGCAAGGCTATGCGCGCTCTGGATCAGGGTAGGGGTCGGGGCTTACAGATGATGTACAGCCAGCGCCAGCCCTCGATCCCATACCGCCCGTTGAGTCGGGCGTAGGCGCCCGCTTGGATATACCCCGAGCTCATGCTGCCCACCTGACTGGCGATGAAGAAGATGGCTCCACGGCGCGCCAGTTCAGACCGCTTGTACCAGCAGCCCAGGTACCATTGGACGGCGGGGAAGAAGAATCCGCCTAGGGCACCGACGAAGAAGCGTAGGGCGTACAGCTGCGTGACACTGGTCGCTTTGTATTGTGCCAAGGTAAACACGCCCCAGAGAAGGTCGGCGACTGGCAGGAAGTAGTTCACCGGGAAGCGCGTCATCTACCAGAGCGTGTCAATGACTCGATTCTCTCAATCGCGAACAGAGGGAAGCTGGTGGCACGTACCGCCAATGTCAAGGGGATCTGCATCGTGATAAACCCGACCCTTGAAGCTATTAGGATGGCGGTGATCGAACCGTCGGCGAAGCACGTACATGTACACGGTATTCAGGTAGTTCAGCTGGTTGCCGTACATCTTCAAGTCCTCCCTCATACCACTGACATAGGCGGTGCTCGTGGCGGACGAGTCGAGCACTTTAGCCCAGTAGGCCAGGAACACAAACACAATGATAAGGCCGTCCAGTTTGAGAATGAGGCGTCGCTCGGCCGGTGTGTCGGTAGGCGCAAACCATTGGTACCATTTCTGACGCTGCTGGATTTCAGGTGATGGTTGCTGGAACTGTGCATCTTTGGTGTCAGAAGCTTCGGGGATGGGGGCTTCCACAGCCCGAGGCGTCTTCTCGATTGAGGCGCTCATGCTAGGGCTGGTGGAAATAGCGCAAGTTTCAGATTTCGAGAGTACAAGTTGGCGTGGGCGACTACCCTACATTTCTGCCGACAAGCGTGAAGATATTTGTCCAACCCTGAAGCACGCCACTTTTAGCGTGAATGGCGAGTAGTGGCAGGGATTCACCCCACCATTCAAAAGCTGATAGAGTTGCGTGCCTCGCAGGCTGGATGTCTTGGCGACGCTATACTAGCCGAGCGAGACGAGCTCGGCTATTTCCTCAGGAATCCTGTTCCGATGCCAACTTGGAATGATAATTAAAGGCTGGATGGCTGATTGAGTCAGGCCGAACAGGGAAAATAGGAATATGGATGACTACAATGCCTTCCAGGGAAAGGATATAATCAATCTCCCGTGCTTCAGGAGGATCTGCGCTGAATGTCCGCAATGCTTGATAATCTTGGCACGCGCCTTACTGCCTTGTCTACCTTGGCGATGGGCCTTTTTCAATATTATAGTTGTCGACAATGGTGTCGGTGCTAGTCAAAAGATCGTGGCTGACTGCGTATCCAAAGGTACTTTTTGTCTAGTGATCTGATGGTCAAGGATGAATCAAAGGTCAAGACTCGATGTGACTCAGTCACCTGTGCCAAGAACCCGTGTCAGTACCAGTGCCTAGACAGGTGTGCGTGCTGACCATCTGCCTCGTCTGAAAATTGTAGTCCCAATTTTTGGTGTGGAGGCGCATGCAACTGCGGGTGCGGCTGCAGCTGCGGACCTCCCTGTGGATGCGGGCTTCCTTCTTGTCCAGAGGTGCATTATGCACGCTGTGTACTAGGATTCTTTTGTAAGTACTACAATTAACGAATCCCAGAGAAATATCAATTGTGATTGGACTGGATCTCCTGCTAGCACAGTCGCATCAGAAATCGGGTCAACCACCTGGATTGCTGCAAGTACGGTTGCGCAGATTCACAATTCACCCTCCACAGACAGAATAGATCAAATTCACAAATAGAATTTTGCAGCTGAGTCATAAGCCCGCTCAAGCCCTGTCTCCTGAAGCGTCCACAACCCTAGCTTTGAGAGTCCACGTCCCCTTTTCCGGCCTCTGCACAATCATCTCGCGAGTAAAGGCCATCCTCTCGGGAGGCGTGTCGCAGAGCTCCAGATCAAAGCGACACACGATCGTGGCTAGCGTTGTGTAGACCTCCGCATAGGATAGACTACAAATGGAGAGATATTCGTCAGCATCCGCCCAGTACGTTATACTGCATTTAGAACAAATCAGCCAAGAAACCTTACTTGATTCCAACACAGGCTCTCGTGCCTCTGGTGAAAGGTATCAGATACTTTGAGAGATTCGCGCCCCTCTCACTCGCAGTGATCCACCTTTCTGGATCGAATGATTCGGGGGTTGGAAAGATTTCAGGATTCCGGTGCAGGAAGTAGCTGCTCGTGCTCATCGGGGTCTAAAGGATTTGCCTTGAGTAACAATACGTGGCCGCACAGGGGACCCATGCGTCAGCACTCACACCGGGAGGTATCGCATAGCCATTGTAATGCAAGGTCTCGTGTGGGGCCACTCGCGAGGGACGCATTGCCACCGCACCTAGTCGAAGCGATTCATTCACCACGGCCGCCTGTTCAAGAATGTGTGAGGCGATTATACAGAAAGTAGGAGTCTCATGGAATGGGAACCCACCAAGTATGGCAAGCGCTCGACCTGAGGCCAAGGGACTCTGCCATCGGATCGCGACACAATCGGCTCCACTTCCTCGCGCAGCCGAAAGAACATCTCCTTGTCGCGCAGCAAATGATACATTGCAAACGTCAGCGTGGCCGCGGTGGTTTCTGTACCGCCAATCAGCAAGATAAAGCTTTCATCGCGCAACCGAGCCAGCGATCGCTCCGCCACAGGCACGGCGGGGTCCGTCAAACATCCATAAATTGTACGCAGTCTCTCCCTACTGTACGAGTGCAGGCATTCCTCAGACTGCCGCGCAATACGATCTTGCATTTCATACACAGCCGCGAGCTTGGGCTTCACCCAGCGAATCCAGCGGCCGGGCAAGGCTTTCAAGATCCTCGGTAACAGTGGCCAGAACTGGAAGAGATGGCAGGTGTCCGTGATCTCGGCCACTGCGTGCCAGATGCCGTTGTTCTCGAGATGCTTGGACACCAGACAGCCGGTGTCCTGGCCGTACAGGTAGTGCGTGATGATATCGCCTGTGAGCGCCACAAATGCGTCGCTCAGGTTGATCACTGTCATCTCCTTGGCGGCCATGGTGAGATGCTCACAGAGAAGATCGACCTTTTCGTAGATGACAGGCATCAAGGTGCCGACACTTTTCTTGGAGAAGAATGGGTTGAGCTGATTGCGGCGAGACCGGTGGAGGTCGTGGTCGACCGTCGCCAGCGCGGCATGGGGCGAGGCGAGGAATGCCACCATCTGCAGGTCCTTGTCCCGTCGCCTGCCTGCCCCAGCATAGATTTCGTCATAGAAGGCATAATCGACGATGTGGACTTCTCGTGGGTTGATCCGCACGATGGGTCCTGGAGGAATCCGTGAGCCTGAGTCGCCTCAAGAGAATATGTCACTGACCATATTTCTCGTGCATCCTCTTGATTTCCCAGATGAACTTGCCGCCTCGAACAACGTCGTAGTAGAACTCATGGAGATGTGTCATGGCGGCCAACTTTGGCCCAGGGACCGACCTCAAGGGATGGAAATACAGACGGTAAAGATATTTTGTTACAACGAACAAGAACACGGTGGTGAGAGTAAGGGTCCACATCTTGGGATGAGCAATGTCAGGGGATTTGATAGTCACTACCTGGCGGATCAAGAGATTGGAGATTGCGCAGGTCTGGATGCTACTTATAGTTTCCTTTTTTCCACCAGAACGAAACTTGGTTTCCTTATGGACTGCTGGATCGCGCTGTATGCCACCATCGACTCACAGGTTTACGTCAATGGGGTAAGCTAGTTTTCACTTTCGGCTAATGCATGATCTATGCTAGAGGCACCTGCAGCTCGATGCACCTACACCTTTGGGGTTAGCACTTGGTTCAAAATCGTAAATACCACTTTCCGAACCCGAGATGCTAACCTTGAACCCACCGCAAGGGGCTTGTAATCTCTGACCATTCACAGCTAAGCAACCATACTTCCCCCTCCCAACGAACATCGCTGCGCATCCAGTAATCTGAAATACGACTCTGGGCATTCTGTTGGGAAAGAAACGCTGAATTATAAATTCAATACCAGCCTCAATGCCCTTGGGACAGAGAATCACTCTTCCTGACAAGACTGTCTCAGCCCACCTCTAACCTTCCCATCCCCTCGAGCCAATATTCCTACTATGACGAGAAGCCAGGAGAATGCTTCGCTTATGACCCGATTACAGGGCCAGACATTGATCATCCCAGATCTGCTAGCACGAGTCTACGCGGACTGGGATGTCGACAGACATTCTCATGAGTTGGATGTTCGAACCAACATGGAAGAATATTTTCTTAACCAGTGAGGAGACCCAACCTCGCTCCTCCCCTCACTAGCTTTTATTGTCTATGGGCATGGTGCTGATACAGCTATACCCGCCAGCTGGTGCCCAGATCGCACGAAACGCCAACAACTGATCAAAAGCAATTCGGCCATGTTAGCCGGATACTTCTGGTCCGGCAGTGATGTGGAAAGATTCCTTCCCCTGGCCAAGTTCATGTATTGGGTAAGGAGGTCGACCCGCGTGACCCTTATCCTGGAATACCTGAATACTAACGCGGACTGCTACAATAGTTCTTTCTCTGGGACGATGGTAGCCAACGTCCTCAGCCTTGCTTGCCCTTCTAAACCACACACTGATACCTTACTTAGAAATTGATTGCGGTCGACTTGCAAACGATGCCAAAGGTACACAAGCTTACCGCGAAAGCACCCTCGCGTTTCTGAAACGCACATTAGAGCCGGATATGCCCGAGCCTGGTCCGAGCTATGACGCGGCGGACCATAATAGCGGGTGTTTTGAGGAAATATCCCCCGCCCTGCGATCTGGGACCACAGTTGGTATGTATGGCCCATACATCCGCCGAGATGTTGATATCCGGTACCAACTATCAACCAACGAAATTTAGAGTCCCGGCGCCGGTTCGCAGATTCTCTTTACGACTACGTGGACTCGGTGTGCGCCGTCCAAGAAACCCGCGAAGAGCGGTTACCCGGCCTGGGTTGCTATTTCGCGAACAGAGAGTTGTCGATCGGAGCGTACCCTTGTATCATGGCGATGGAGTGAGTGTAACCCACTTCAGATGCTTCTGGCAAAGGGGATTTCTTATCGAAACCAGATTTGCATATGACGTTCGGGTCCCGCATTGGATCTATGAGGATTCGCACATGAGAACCATGTTTCGCGAAACGGCCATCTCCTGCATTGTGTTAGGACCCCTCATCCCGCGGTCTGCTTTGACTCGGCCGCAGCTGACAGGGATTAGCGTTAATGATATTATCTCGCTGCGGAAAGAGCTGGTTAGTACATTCTCATTCGGCCCATGAAGCGAAATATGTGTAACTAATCAGACCGCGTCAGATTGCGGGTCAATTCGACAGTGTCATCCCACTGAAGATGCTGCATGATCCTTCTCTGAGTGCGCAAGACGCCATGAACGAGGCATGCCAAGATTTGGTCCGATCGAAAAGAGTCTTCCAGGAAGCCGAGTCCTCACTGTCGGACAGTGACGCGTTCAGACAGCTGAGCGCGGCTACCAAGGCTGAGGTTCGCACGCTCCTCACGGGGTGCAAGAATATGATGGTGGGCAACGTGAAGTGGTCGTAAGTCCCGTTTCACTCGAGGTTCTGCCAGCTCTCACGATGCTAACCGGTTACTTCTGAGCATAGACTCGCGAATGACCGGTATCTTTCTCGGAAGGATTCCCAAGATCGCGCCGTTCGACTCCACCTATGATACCGTCCCCGCGCCCATTATGTGTTTCTCCACTGGTACTTTATCTTGTTGTAGGAAGGAGGGGCATTCGGGAAACCTTGGTCCTCTATCTAGTTCGCGTTATTGATTGGTAAAGCATGGAAGTTATCTATTAATCTATATTGAAGGATTGCATCTTTTGGTATGTTATATGTATTGTAGATAGAAGTCCCTGAAGGTTTCTCGTATCGTACGAAGACGCGAACCGCGGGAATGCGGGCAGGGATTGGATAGGGCCAGAGCGGGACAAATAGGCCAAATTGAGTATTCGTGATTGCGGTCATACTTACCTTCCCAAGCACGAACAAAATGTACCGGATCTGCTGGATGACAATTGCTGCACTAGTGAGACTACTAAAATAATGGATGTCAGATTGCCGATCTTCTCCCTGTGCTAGTCCGCACCTGCATCCGCACCGCCTCTACCCTAACCCCACCTCCACCCGCATCTACAGCCGCATCACACAAGCAGCGGTGAGCATCTGCATCCAGTGAAAAGGAGGGTAGCCCAATCTCAGTACTAGGGAACTTGGGATGATTATCGGATCGGCTCGAGAAGCATACACGCCCACCTACCAGGTGAGAAACGCAGCTTGGAAGTGGAAGTAAGGGCTAAACTCCGTCCCTCCAAGCCTAAGACCGAGCCAGATCCATGAGCCCCACTTTTGAATGCAAGATAATGTCCTTGTGATTTGCGAAAGATAAGCCATCACCTCAGTCGCAGGGCATTGACCCGCAACCCGGCCGACAGCTGAGAGCCCTCGATTCTGATTCTTGTACACTGCTCCGCATTCCACCGCTGAAGAAGACACAAAAGCATTGTGTGTCTGCTCAAGACATTTTCGCAGTATGGCCCCGACCGAAGCAGAAGTTCCGTCATCTCCCGTGGTCTGTTTGGCCTGCAAAGCGGGCAAGAGGCAATGTGACAAGTTGACGCCGACATGCTCGCGCTGCAAGAAGTACGTATCTGCTATGGTATATTCTATCTGCCTTCGGCGGTAAACTCATTGGTCGATGGGTTCTAGACTCGACCGAAAGTGCTTATACCCCTGGACGACGCCTCCAGTGTCTGCGGCTGCCCGTGCGGATGCAGTACCCTCGGTGCGGGAGACCGCGCCCTCTGCTTGTGTGAGATGCAGTGCTCAAAAAAGGAAATGCGATCGACTCATCCCTGGGTGTTCCCGCTGTCTGAGGTGAGTACCTTAGTCCGTCGCCAGGGGGCTACGGTTGGTCTTGCTGACCCTACACCACACATGGCGAGGCTGCGTCTGAGCCTAGGCTCGAACCGTGGAATATATTGTACATGACAGACTGACATCCGTCTGAACCCACAGACTTGGCCTCGGCTGCTTCTACAATTCTCATTCCACCGACTCCACGCGTGCGAGAGGAAGTCACCGAGCAAGGCAAGACGTGCGCAGCGGCCTAGGGCAACCTCAGCATGGCCCTAGCATCCCGACGGAAGCGCCCGTCCCGGTCCAAGGCTATATGCCGACCCTGTTGAAGTTTTGTAAGTCCTACCTTCAAGGGTCTGCAGTAGGCGTACCCCAATCCCCAACCAGGGGCTACAAAAGGAAGTGAGAGACTTACGAGAATCGCCCCGGTGAGTCCCAGTCTGCACCTCCGTCGCCATTCCCGCCGATGTAGCCAAGCCCGATAGCATGGCCGTGCATCTGAGCTCCGAGTGGATGCGCAATGCCACGGCCAACGCATCCTTGTTCCACGCCACGCTTTTCAGCGCCTCCGCGTCCATCGATATCCTGCGGGGCACCAGGAACAACCGAGTCACGCTGTACCATCAAACCTGCGCCATTCGGCTTCTGAACCAGACCCTAAATAAAGACACGGTCGAGCTAAATTATGCCGCGATCGGGACGGTGGTCCCTTTGATCTTCTATAATGTACGTTTCGCCGCGGCAACCGCCATTCCCCTATTGTGTTGACTAACTCGACCCCCTTGTCTCACGCGGGGGAGGGGCTGTAGATGGTCGCCTTGGATATCGACTCGGCGGTTGCGCATCAGAAAGGGCTAACCATGATGCTCTTTTCACTTCCGATGGCGAGGCGGGATGAGCTCGGACCACTGCTGGGGGTTATCAAACTGTGAGGCTGAAGCGCTCAACAAGGCCCTTCCACAATTCTCGTATGCACCGGACCTAATGATCTCTTAGGGCACTGCTCTCCTTCTCCTGTATCTTCGACGTCCCACCCGCCTGGGACTGTCTGACATTCCCCGACGTCCGCCCGCATTCCATACTGCGGTCCGTGATCGCCAGCGTGACACAACACAGCAATACTGGCTCAACATTCACTCCGCCAACCGTCGAGAACATCCTCGACATCTACGCGGCCATTTCCCAGTTGCAGGCCATAGCAGACCACCCGACCCTGGAGGACGCCACCGCAGCAGAGATCAACCAGATGCGCCATCTTCTAAAGACCCTTGATCCTCTCCCCGCCCAAAAGGCACCACAGCCCACCACCGCACCATCTCCCACCCGCACTGAGGACAAGCTCAACGTGTGTTGCAGCCTTGCCACATCAATCCTCTCGCGACTCCTGCGTGCGGATGCCCCGATGAATGAGGACACTACCCTCCAGGCGGAGCTCACCCAACTCACCCAACGAATCACCGAGATCGACGCGGCGTTCTGGATCCGACGGGCGCCGGAAACGTTGACCTGGCTCATCTTCACCGGGGCGGCCACCGCCCCTACCAGCCTGGACCGCGGGCGGTTGATTCTGTACGGGGGGACGGTGCTCACCGCTGTTGACTCAGAGAAATTGGTGCTCGTCAGGCAGGGATGGGTGTATTTTGGTCTGTTGAGGAATATTCGGCGGTTGCGTCGGATTTATGCGTAGGTGTTGGTCTTCCGGGCAGGGTCGTGAGTATTGGCGGGGATGTGGATGAGCCGCGTGTTGGGGGTTTCTCCTCGGCAACGGGCTGCACTGTTGGGATATCGGGCAGGTTGAAAGACAGCTAGGATTGACACGTGGCCATTCAATAATTACTGAAGGAGCAAGCTTTGGGGTATGTACTTGATCTGTCCTGGTCGAAGGACTGTTCGAGATTAAGCACAATCTCGTAGTGTGTTCATTGTGTGCAGCACCGGGATCACATTATCAGTGCCACTCTAATGCAGAACAATCATAGTTTTGCTGCAGTGAACAGGAAGCAAGTATCAAGACACGGTGCCGTCTGTCGGCGGTCCCGAGCAATCCGAGCATGTAATCCCAGGCGATTTACCGGACTATTCCACAGTTTGATATTTTGGCTAGCTCATCAACCAACCAACCACCGGACAATTCAAGATGTTTCCATATCGCCCGTTCCTCAGCTTCATCAACATGCTACAAGCTATAAGCCCGGGGCTTCTCAGGGCTCTACGACGATCCCTTAGATGGCTCAGACTAAATGACCTGCCTCTAAATGAGACTCTCGGTCCGCTCAGGAGGTCATCGATATGACCTTGTAAATGCTTCTCTTCAGCCGGATAAGCAAGGATCTGGTTCGTACGTAGACCCTGTTTGAATGCTGTTCCGTCACCGCGGAGTCAAAGCTAATCTGATTTCGATTTAGGTAAGTGACACTGGGGCATTCTGCGAGTCTGTGATTTTACGAATCAGAGCATAAAAGCTGTTGAATCTTTGTGGGTTGTTGAAGATGAATCTAGAATAATATATAATGGACATGGTTTTCGGTTATCTATGTTACCAAACTGTACAACGAAAAATCACAGAATTCACCCGATTGATTGAGTACCAATATATAGAGCTGTTCATCATACAATCCATCCTCAAATCTTCTCAGAGTTCAAGTAGGATAAGCTCAATTTACAGGCATGCGCATCGGCCTTAGCCACAACCAGCCGCTGGGCTCTACTTCCTCATTGGCTGGTAGCTTAATCCGAGCCCGAGCTGAGCTCTTCAGTTTCCAAGTTCTCCATAAAACTGCCCGGTCATGTGTTCTTGATGCCTCAGGCGAGAACGCTATGTTTGATATACTGTACCATCCATCCGTTTATTCCGAGAAATAAATAGCTATACAGTCGATATACCGCACAAGAATCATCAGCAAAAGAAGTGCTTGCCTGATGAGCTTGATGGCCATACCCTTCCCAATTGTGCTCATTCCGGGTTGCATACGGATAAAGATTACATAATAATGCAGACGTGCACGTTGACTAGGGGTGGGAAGTGAATATCAGCCTTCTGGACCGAAAGAGAAAACAGGCTACGGCTCAATGCTCATCCTGAACATCAAAGCCATTCTTTTAGACACAGAAGAGAGGGGAGGTGTTTCGGACAGGGCGGTGATGCAATGACGTCGACATGTGGTATGGATAACATCTCCCCGCGCCCGGGAAAATTGAATCGAGACCCGGTATTCGCTCAAACGCAACGGTGACACTTGACCGGTGATGCAATCCGCACACGAAGGCTACTGGACGCATAAAGCCCATGAACTCGCCCACAGGCTCATCGGCAACACCACCACCACCATAATGCAACAATGGGAAACGGATCTTACACCGATCTGCTGATTATAGGCGCCGGCCCGGCCGGGCTGATGGCAGCCTGCTGGGCGGCGCAGTTCCAGATGCAGACGCGGATCATCGACCAGAAGCCCGGGCGGACGCCGACGGGCCACGCGGACGGGCTGCAGAGTCGCTCGCTGGAAATCCTGGACAGCTTCGGGATCGTCGATCCCATCCTGCGGAAGTCGGTGCGGCATACGGAGATGGCGTACTGGGTGAGTACTGTCGCAGCAGCTGTAGCTGGGCTGCGGGAGGGCTGATTAAGAAGTTGTAGGCAATGAACGAGAGCACAGGACACATCGAGCGGCGCAAACGGACCCCGTCATTGCCCGGAAGCTCGGTGTATGATCAGCGGCTGCTGAACCAGGGCGCTACGGAGCAGGTCTTCCTCGACTACCTCCACGAGATGGGGGTGCAGGTTGAATACGGGACCAGAGCACGGGAATTGACGCTGTCGGAGTCCAATTCCGAGACGGATCACAAAGTGGCCGTCGAGGTCGTGTCGGGTAAGGCGCAGGGTAAGCTTTGCTCGGGGAGGGACCTTATCTTTCGTGCATTGGAACGTGACTTACACTCCCCAGATGGCTCGGAGACGATTCATTGTCGCTATCTAATTGCATGTGACGGTGCACGTGGCTGGACCCGGAACCAGTTGCATGTCCCGGTCGATAAAAAGCTGGGGGAGTCGACCTGGGCGGTGTTTGACATTGTGCCTATCACCGACTTTCGTACGTATATCGTGCAATCCTACGACATTGATAAGAATTCATGCTGAGACATCCAACAGCGGACATTCGTCAATCGTGTGCGATCAGCTCCGGGGACCGTGGCAGTATGATGACCGCACCCCGAGAGAACCGGCTGGTTCGGTTCTACATCCACCCGAAGGGCGACAAGGAGCTCTGCAATGGCCAAGACACGAAGCATGAGCCATCGCTCGATGAGCTTGTTAGTACGGCAGACAGCTTGCTGAAACCGTACAAGTTGAGGTACCAGCACTGTGATTGGTACTCTCTATATTCGGTATGTAGATGGCATCCAACCCTTTCCGCGGTATAGCCTTAAGTGACAAGACACAGATAAAACAGCAGCTCGTCAAGCAACTCCGGCCCCACGACAGGTAACGTAAGCCTGTACTCGACCTAGTACAAGATTTTCCACTGACTGATACCAAGAATACTGTTGGCCGGGGATGCTGCCCACACTCACTCCCCCAAGGCAGGTCAAGGGATGAATGTGTCGATGCAGGATACATACAACTTGGTCTGGAAGCTAGGTGCGGTCATCACCGGGGCCGCTAGCTCGAGGGTACTAGAGACATACGAGTCCGAACGACGGCCGGTGGCAGAGGAATTGTTGGAGCTGGATGCGCAGTTGGTCGGGGCGTATGAGAAAGACACCGGCGCGGCCAAGCGTATTGAAACCGTTCGGGATCAGTACTCCGAGTTTATATCGGGTCTAGGGGTGACCTATGGTCCTAGTATCCTCGTTGCAGACCAGAATGCTCAAGGTTTGGTAAATAACATCAAAATGGGAAGACGGTTAGATCCGTTCTATGTGGTCAATCATGCCGAAGGCGTATCGATCAACCTGATGACCAGACTTCCCAGCGATGGGTCGTGGAAACTGCTGGTATTTGCCGGAGATATCCGTCAGCCAGACCTTCGTGGGCGTCTGAATTCGTTCGCCAAGACTTTCTGCCAGCAGCCGTTGCTTCCGCGCCTGTATGAGAAGCGGCATGGAACCCGTGCTGGGTGGCTTTTGGAGACGGTCCTCATCCATGCGAGCCCGCGCACATCTGTGGAGCTCCTTGAACTTCCGGAGATGTTTCACCCGTTTGACGAGACGTGGGGATGGGACTACACGAGAGTATTCACGGACGAGGGCTCATACAGCCCAGGGTGTCGTGGTGCATACGACGGCTATGGGATCGACAAGAATACTGGCTGCGTGGTACTTTGTCGACCGGACCAGCATGTTGGTTGGATCGGGGCCATGGAGGACGTGACTGATCTAGAGAATTACTTTTCTGTCTTCATAGATAAGTAAGAGGATGGGCGTGATGTACAGAATGGCTAGGACGCCTACAATGTAAATACAGGTCTTGGATGAAGAGCTTTCAGAAAGATTATCTCTTATCATTGAACTGTCAATGATTACTCTGTTAACCTACAGGGATATAGCGTAATTTGGTCTCTTGGAGTTTGCTCCTTCAAAAGCGGCTATGCATAACTCGCTTACCAACAATGCATACAGCCAACAAATGGGTTGTCGAATTGCCGAATCATACCCTTCCAGCATTGATCTTATGAGTCCCTCCTGCTACAGAACACACCCTGCACGACACAAGCATTAGATGCCGATCAAACGATCCATCGAATTCCAGACGCAGATCAGGGTCCACGCGAGTGCCCCACTTTCGTCATGATGAAGTGCGGTCACTCCACACTTTCGTCTTTTGTGGCCTAACCCTAACTCCTCTTCCCCGGCAACTCCTCCAACTGGCCAACACCACCACTCCGCAGTGCAGGTCCCTCAAAACTCAATCCCCAGTGACTCCCTGCGCCAACGCATCATGATGACCACATTCAGCAGCGCAGGGACCTTCGAAAATCCCCGATCCTCCCACTGATCTGCCGGTACTTGTCTCGATCGATTGGCAGTAATTTTCCATGCCGAAAAGGAGGGGCCCACTGTGTACTAGGTACTTTTCTGGAAGAGTCGGCTCCCCAGGACCCCCGCAGAGATGATGTCGAAAGTGACTTCACACCCGTAATTTCCCCTCAACCACCGCATCATCGCCTCGTGTCAACACCTCGTAGGGATACGTAAGATAGGGGCCGGAGTGACATCAATTGGAATCATCCTCTGCTCCATTGGCTACATTCACAGGCATAAATACCGCCATCCTAACTCCCCCATCCTCACTACTCAACTCAGCAGCTCACGAACAATACCATCAACCAAACCAAACCACCAGCCAAACCACCAGCCAAACCACCAAACCACCAAAATGGCCCACAACACCAACCCCGGCAACTTCTCCAACCGCCCCCACGAGGAAGTGCAGAACATCGCCCGCAAGGGCGGCCAATCCAGCCACTCGGGCGGTTTCGCCAGCATGGACGAGGATAAGCAGGTGAGTTTTCGCATCTTCCCTATCCCCCATCTCTATCATCTACCCTCCAACATCCCCCCCACCCCCAAATCCATAACTAACTCAAGATTCAGCGCAACATCGCCTCGATGGGCGGCCACGCCTCCAGCGGCAGCTTCCAGCCGGGTGACCCGCGCGCCCGCGAGGCCGGCCACAAGGGCGGGCAGCACTCCGGCGGCAGCTTCGAGCCCGGCGACCCCCGTGCCCGCGAGGCCGGGCGGATGGGGGGCTCGCGCACCGCGGACACCCCGGAGGAGTGAGAGGCTCCAAACCACCTACATGCAATCTTGCATATGCATGAGCGACTAGGTGCGGAATTTATGACGTGATGCTACGATAGCGATGTGAAATGATTTGATTGGATTGGATTGTCCTATCCTATGCGGAACAGAAATCAAAGGAACGGGGAACTGTACATTAGTTTTTGATGAGAATGTGTTGGCAAATGGTGGCGGATATGTATACTACGAACGAACAAAGTACGAAGTGCAGTACAGTATACCACTTCAGAGTTCCCAATTTTAGCATCCATGACATCTCCTCGGTGTAGACGTAGAAGCACAGACCCCAGCAAAAACCCACACTAACCCCCCTCCCAGACTAGCCAGCGTCGATCGCGCAAATCCCGACAATCCCTAAATCGTGAATCGTACTTTTTCCCACCCAAAAACCCACATCCAACGAAGAAAAAACTCTCCGAAGGGGGACGGACGGAAGGGCTAACGCGGGTGAAACACGGCAAGATTGGGGAAGCAAGCTTGGACGTTGAAACAGGCTTGGCCGCAGAACCCACCCCATACATAGCTAAAGTTAGTGAGGGTGCGTACGGTGGAGTGGAGAAAGGATTCACGTCAAGCCAGTTTCCACTGACTAAGCTCCGCGTGGTGGGACAATAACCTGCCTGTTCGGGTAAAGCCGACAGTCGTGACATCATGTCCGATGGCGAATGTTCGGGATTGCTTTCGGTCGTGAGATCTTTGGGTGTTCGCTCACTGGCTTGCCCCTCGACATCTAGACAGTATTTTTTCTCCCCGGTGAGAACATTCTAATATTGCCTCTGATCTGAAAAATTCCCGCGAATTTGATTCGAAATAGTCCAATTGGAAATTGTTCGTATTTTTTTTGTACTTGTAGTAATAGTAGTTATTTGTGTTTCACATAATCAGCGGTTCTTTTGAGTAGAAAAAACAATGAATCGATCCGCTTGCGCTTGCTTGGTTTAAAACGCCATGAGTAAAGCCCTCCCCTTTGTCCCGTACACCCAACCGATATATCCCATCCATCAGAGCTCCATATACTGACCATTTCGAAGGACAGCGCGATATTGTACATAAAATGCACAATCCAACGTAATAGATACAATAAAGAAATTAAGCAAAAAAGCAGAAGGCTGAAGTCAGATCCCAGAAAAGAACTCGTAAGATAGTCGTGTACAAGTGTAGTCGCTGCATGGCCGTATACCATTACGGACTCTCCTTTATCTTCAATTCCTCCTCCTCCTCCTCCTTCTTCTTCTTCTCCTCCTCCTCCAGCTCATCGGCCTTCGAGCCACCAGCGTTAGGCAAGTGAAGTATATCATCGAACCCGAACGCAGCGTCCTGCTCGACTCCCTCCTTCAAAATGTTTTGCTGCGCTGGAGACAGCGGCGTCGACCGCGAGGACCTAACCTGCGGGCCACCCCCCTCGGACTCGCTGGCGCCCGAGACCGAGGCACTGCGCTGCGAGAGGTGGGCGACCATCCGCGCCAGATGGGCCTTGATGGCCGGGTCGTCGCACCCGGAGTGCCGCAGGAGCTCGTTCTTCAGCTCCAGGATCTGGCTGCGCAGCTGGCTGACCTCCGACTCCAGCCGCGAGTTGGCCTGCGTCACCTCCATGCACCGGCTCTCCAGCTGGCGGGTGTGCTCCTTCTTCTTGCGCCGGCACTTGTTGGCCGCCACGCGGTTGCGCTCGAGGAACCGCTCGCGCTTCTGCTGCTCCACCGCGTTGTGGGTCGGCGAGAAGACCGGCTCGCTGGGCCGTCGCTGCGCATAGTACCCGGTCGTGCTGCTGCTGCTACTGCTGCTGCTGATGCTGCTGATGCTGCCGTAGCTGCTGCGGTGGGATTGGTCGCTGATGCTTCCGCGGGAGGTGATCTCGTGCATTGGGACGTGGTAGGAGGAGGTCGGGCTGGCGGTGAAGCGGTGCATGGCGGGGTCGAGGAGGGGTTCTTTCGGGGCGAGATGCGGGTGTTGGGGGTGGTGAACATGGGGAGGCATGGGCTGGTCCGGGGAGAAAAGGTTCGGTTCGATAAATGCATTCATGAAGGCTTGATGCGCCGGTGGTGAGGGCTGCGCCTGCTTTTGTGGTTGCTGCTGCTGCTGCTGCTGCTGGAACCCGTCGAACCCCCCCGATGCGGCTGCGGCTGCAGCACCCGGGGTGCTCCCGCTCATCGACCATTCTTGCATCCCATCGAACAATGGCATCGTTAGGAACTCGGAGGAGATGGTGCTGTCCAAGAAAAATGGCATTGGGCCGGTCCAGGTAATTTCGGACTTGGACGGGGCCCCTGGCATGGAGGGATGTTCGAGATTGACGGACATCACTGTATGCTTCTCTTTCGCAGCAAGGTGGTGCGCGATGCAATTCGGGGTTTTACTTTTGGTCTTGTGGACGGAGACAAGATAATTGCCACTGCACGGTGTTCTGGTTGAGGAAATGCGGAACCGAAAGGGACAGGGTAGACAATCTCAGGGAAGTGACGGAATTTGTGTAACTATATAGGATAGTGACAGGAAGGTTCTTTCCGTGATCACCGGGAGTCAGTATGCAGGAAGGTAAGTTCAATGGAGGGTGGGACAGCAGGAAGGGTGTATGTAGTAGGAAGGTAGGTAGGTAGCAGTATGAGTATGAGTAGTATGGATTGTAGGGGGGGGTGGTGTGGAGGAGTATTACACATCTTTATTAGAAACCAAGCACACTCCCCCATCTGAGGGCCCGGCAATGACGATGCATGCGGGCCAGCTAGTTTCGACACTAGAGATGAGAAAGAGGAAGAAAAGAGTTGAGATAGGCGAGAGAGCTGGAGGATATTTCCGGGGAGGCGCATTGGGGATTTTCAATGGGCAGTTGATCGGCTCTCACAGCAGAGCGCGAGAGATTTTGCAGTGCAAGGAACGAACGATGGTCAGCCCGTTGACAGGGGGGAGGAGGATGTGTCCAGGGTGCATGATTGGTTGGGCCAATATTCCGGTGGGCTGGACCCAATGGATCAAAGTGGTTTCCATCTCCAGCAAAAAATCCATTGATATCTTGGATCGCGGGGAGGGAGAGAGGGATTTGGATTTGGAAAATGACGTTTCCAGTCGATCTGCTTACTTCCCGCCTCATCCGACCAAGTATGTACTATAGGTACTTACTAGAGTGTACCTACCAAAACAGATGCAACGAATTGTCTAGAAGCGTACTGTATGTTCTGTCGAGATACCCTTATCCTACTGTCTGAGACTCTAACCATGGCTTCCTCTATTCACACTGTGCTTCCATTCTATTCTTACCTTTCCTATTGTTCTTCGATGCAACCGACTAGATGACAGACCGGACCTGGATCTGCCGATCGCTTCCGCTTCGAACCCAGGGACTTTGTTCCGCCAATCAGAATGCTTCACATGGTCGAGTAGACCAATCGTTCACTGCCGTCATTCTGTACGGTACACTTGCCAGTCCAATTGTACTGTACTGTAGGTACCTACACTGCCCAGTGGGCATCTGGAACAGTCAACTGAACCTTCAACGAAGGTCGCATCGCACGCACGTTTTTGCTACATGCTTCCCATTTCCATCTCCATCGCCTCGTCCTACTCGTCCGATCCATGGCTTCTTCCCATTGACTTTTCGCGGGATCCCGTTTCCGTCCCCTCCATTCTAACTAAAGCCATGACTTTTCATGATGAAAATGACCTCGGTGAGCATCAGGGGGAGCCAAAAATCCATGATGACGAAAAGCAAGCCACGCGAGTACAAGCAATCGATCATCTCCGTCAATTAGACCCAGCCCTCGCGCGCAACCCCCTGGAGATCTGCCTCTGCCCGTTAGTGAGGCTGCATCCCACAGCCTCCTACGTTGTGCGCGCACTGAGTGAGTACTGTGCATCTGAGTATATCTATCTGCAAGTGGAGAGCAGTCACTGTATGTACCTTACTAAGTAAAGTGGAGATACTTACCATCAGTAAGTACATAGTAGGATCACCTCTTCCTCGCGGCTTGTAACCCGTCCACTCACTCACGCACCCACCCACCAGAAGCCAGCCAGCCAGCTCCCGGCCCCCCCTCAAGTGCGGGTCAGACTAGGATATTGCATACACCGTGTGGAGTAGAGAGAAAGAGAACGGAGCAGGAGAGGCCCAAGGTTCCTTAGAAAACCGGATGCTTCACTTCCCACGGCTTCTACGGAGTAGTCAGTGTCAATTTGCGATGCGACCGTGCAATCGAGTGGTGGATGCCTCAGCGCTCAGGCGGTCATTGGCTTGCGGCCTGCGGATAAGTTACCCGGCGGTCGACGTTTCCGGCCATGCTTCATCCCTCCAAACCTAGATATTTTTTTTTTCTCTTCTTGCTTTTGTGGTCGATGTCTGTTCTCGGACGGATTCAGCCGGGAGAGTTTGATCGATGGTCAATGACTTTTGCACTTTCGAATTGGTGAAGGGGCATCGATGGTCCACCGAATCCTCTAGAGCTTTGGATGGTTTTCTCTTCCCACTTTGAAGAGGGAAGAAGAAGAGCTCGGGTGGATTCGATCAGATATACTTTGCTACTTTACGTAGCTGCTGTGTTGGATCAGGCGGGGAACTTGCCCCCTCCCTCCCTCCCCAAATGCGGGTCCTTTAACGGGCGCACACAACCAAGATCACGCCAGCACGGGGAAGTGCTTTATCTTTCTAGCGGATTCCCTATCCTGACGCAACGTCATTGGTCAACACGCTCCGACACAACGCAATCGAAATGTCATGACAAGTAGTCTAATCCTTTTTGTCTTGGGTTGATGATGATGATGGCGAATTTCTCTCCGGTGGCACTTTTGTGTGACGTTCCCCAGCACAGCACTTTGACCGGGTGCATTGCAGATTTTCTCGAATGGCAGCTTTCGAGTCTAGACTTTCTACTGTACAGTATCGTTGACGCTATAGCGTGAAAGAAATCTTGTTTTTTTGTTATGTATCGACTGATCGTATGCAGGGGATCTTTCGAGTACATGAGCACTAGGTACTTTACTGTGTGGTTTCCCTGATTGATGCATTGATTTGATTTAGCCTCTCGAGTCTAGACCTGAGGCTTTTCTGTCCAGTTGGCTCTTCGACGTAGCGGAGCCCGGTCGAACCGGATAATAGCACGTAGTCTATCTAGTGGTTGTTTGTTGAACCCCGTCGATTATCCAGGATACTCGCTCGGTTCACCTTGTATCGTCCGAATCCGTGCGATTGTGTATGAGTATGAGTAGGATTGTGAGCTCATTGCATGGGTTCGAACTTCCAAGCGTGCCCCCCCCCCCCCTCCCTCTGCCCTGCTGCTACCCCACCGGTGCTGTGGAGCCAATTTCTAAGTGGCTTGCACGGTCGTGGCCTGAGCCAAGGCCGAGCTTCTACCGGAGAGCTCAACCCCCCGGTCTTACAGGCTCTCTTCCCCCTTCGCGCTCGTGCCATAACGGAAGAGGCGCGATGGTTGGCAATTGAGTCTCGAGGACGTGTTATCTTGGTAATCGCACAAGAGCACAATAAAGACAGCCTGGGATCTGACTCGCCCTGGCTTCTCTTTCCCCCTGCAACCATAATAATCTGGATTTCCCCCTGCCCGGCTACCACTATCATCTACAAGACCGTCGAGTGGTGACGCGGTCTCATCGGAGCCCGCCGGGCCGAGAGGGTAGGTAGGGCACAGTACAGCCGAGTCCACTGCATTCCTATCCGACCGACCGTCAGGGCAGCGGCTCCACCCCCGTCGAAAACGGATCCCAGCTCCAGTCGCCCTGCAGGTACTCGGTGAAAAAGCTCTCCATAATGGGATCGTGCTGCGCCGCTATCTCCAGATCCTGGCCGCCACCGAGCCCGGCATCGCACGTGACCGACGATAAACCGAACAGGTTCTCCACTGCCTCTTGTTGGTGCTGCTGCTGCTGCATGTTGGGGGTGGCCCCGTCGGTCGGCACCGGCGGGTAAGCCGGCTGGAACGGGCCGCCGTCGACTGCGCTGGTCATGGGGTCCAGGAGCGTATTCCCCCCGGTCGCACTTGACTGCTGCTGCTGCAGCAGCTGCTGGTGGTGGTGGTGCTTCTGGCTCAACCGCTCGACGGTGAGGTCGACGATGCGGTCGAAGTTCTCCTTGCCGTGGCGCACGGAGGGCCACCACTGGCCGCCGATGCTGAGGAGGTTGGAGCACACGCGCAGACACTGCAGGGCCTCTTTGAAGGGGACGACCGCCTGCAGCTCTGAGGAGGCCCAGAAGCAGTAGATGATGGTCGCGCCCGATGCGAAGATCCCGTGGATGTTGCGCCACGTGTAGTAGAGATGCTCCTGGGTGTTGAGGCGGTTGTAGATGTGGATCCGGTCGCGGGAGCTGCGGTAGCAGTGCAGGAGGGCGGCGGCGGTGGGCGACGGGAACGCCTGCGACGGCTGGTAGAGCAGCGTGATGGCCCCGTGGTATAGGACCTCGAGCTTCATGATCTTGCACTGGTGCTTGAAGACGTGGTCCTCGTCGTGGTGGGTGGTGGTGGTGGTGGTGAGCTCCTCCGAGGGGGCGCGGGTGGCCCGGACGTCGGCGAGCCACTGGTCGAGATCCTTCTTGATGCGCGCTTGTTCTCCGGCCGTGTCGGTCGGCCACGACAGGGCGTTGCCGCGGTTGGGGAGGTGGTAGAGCAGGATCTTGATCTCGGAGATCAATGCGTCCAGCTTGAAGCGGTGGATGGAGAAGCGCAGCTCCGAGTGGCTGTTGGCGTTGGTGCTGGCGGTTTCGTCGACGACGAATTCATTGAGACCTGGCAGCCGGATGTCGAAGGTCTCATCGCGGATGCCAAGCGGTCGGCCCTGGATTGTGGAGATGGATCTACGATACAGTTAGTGAGTGGGGGGACAAATGACGAACCAGCAGGTTAAACACACCGGTCGAGGTTGTAGACGGTGTAGAAGATCAGCCGTCGTAAAGCAAGGGCGGTGGGCGAATTGTCCGCCTCGTCTTTCGGCTCCCGATGCAGCCCGAGATCAATCGCATGCGACATGGCAATATGCACCAAGGTCCAGATGCTCAGGTTGGTGGGTCCCACCATCCCCTGTACGATGAACAGGAGGATGCTTTGCAGGGCCGTCACGGAAATGCCGCTCAGGCACTCGGCTGCGGCCGTGGAGGCGATCGCGTAGAACCGGGCGGGCGGGTACTCGAAATTCTTGTTCCGCGTGAGGATCGTCGCCGCAAGGGATAGCACCATGAACACGTGGAGCGCGGCGGCGAAGATGGAGATGGGCGTCATGTCGGCGTCAGCCACCTGGTCGAATCGCCCGTTGTACGAGAATGGCTCCATCTCCTCCGGCCACCCGTTGAGGTTCACATTCCCTTGGTACCCGCGTTCCGCGCAGAACCACAGTGCGTTGTACGCGTTGAACAGAGAGGTGGCGTGGAGGAAAGGGTGATCGACATGGAGCTCTTGAAGGTATATACCAATCAGATGGTTGGCTTCGTCGGGCGAAGGTAAGTCCTGCGAATGTTCAGCGAGCGCCTATGGTGTGCAGCGAGGATGGCTCCCTGTCAGGAACAACAGGCATGTCGCTCTTTTTCCTATCAAGAATGGGTAGGACGGGATCGCATGCGTACCCTTCTAAGTTTGTTGTACAACAAACGATACGCCTCAGGCGAGGGACCTGGGGCAGTGCGGCGTTTCGAATTCCCCCACGCCCCGTACGACGAGTTGGAGGTAGCTGGTGAGAGAGGGCTATCGGCCCCAATCAATTTCGTGAAGAACAGGCCGGAAGACGACCCCAGGTAGTATTTCTGTCGCGAGTCGGAGTGGAGTGATAGCATCCCCAGGTCCATGGCTACAGAGCGTGCTTCGGCCGATGGGGTACCAGCCTCCTTTTCAGCCGCTTGCTGCGCGCATGACGCGGGCAGCTCCGCGTGTTCTGTACCTGGTAGGTGAGCAGGTGTTTGCGGTAGAAGTTCACTGTCCGATGCATGCAGGGAATCAAACGGTCGTTTCCTGGTATTTGATTCTCCGGGTGCCGACGGTAGGTGCACAGCGGTACTCCCCGTCGGAGTAGTCGATGGCGTTCTACGTGGGACGGTATTTGGCAACGATGATTGATCTACCGGCGGTGCCTTGGAGAGGTCAAAATCTGGATCTAAAAGCAAGAGTTGCTCTTCGAGCCATTCGATCCGTGCGTGACAGCGTACGGCATAGCTGATGCATCGTCAGCTCGTAACCTTGTAGACCCGTATCGAATGGACGTACTCGCGTGGGATGGAAATGTCATTGTTGCGCCCATCGACATCGACACAGCTTTCTTTAGCACGGGCACAGTTCGAGCACGCTGGAATGCCGCCATCACACTGCGTTGGGAGGGTTAGCCGGCAGCCGATGGATGATGGATAATGGCGGCGTGTCCAATGAGGAGTCACGGATTACTGGCGCACCTTGATTCGTTTAGCTCTGCATCGCCGACACGCTAGACGGACCTTCTTGGCCGGCGTCGACGCAGTCGCATCTTCCGATCTCGGGCTCATTGATAGTCACGCAGTAGACGCAGAAAGAAAATCTGGGAGATGGGATCATGCAAGATTGACCTTGAAGCGGCGGCCAGCCACTTCCTGTGCCGATGAGGCCGAGCTAGCCTGATTACCTCAGCATCCGGGGTGCGGGGTGGCTCGAAGGGGAATAGCTCCTATCCGTTGTCCACTCACTTAGATCTTCTCTGAAGGGGCTTTCTGCATTATTTCGGGCGATCAGGGACTAAAGACTATCTCTGACACTCTCGAATATGCATAGCATAGTAGGACGAGACCAAGTGGTGGTTTTGGGCTGTTGTTGTTGTGGAAATGCACTGTTCATCGGTGCCGTGAGTATATATTCCCGTCCTTGCGCAGCCGACGGATCTATCCGACTAAATGCCAGAGGACGCCAACCACATCTCAACCTAGGTGCACCAGCAAACCAAATTTATTCAGAACATACATGATATCCGGTCTGTACACTACCCAAAAAGAACCAAGATAGTGATTCCACCCAGCACCCGTGACCCGACTACAGGCACCACCACATCCACCCGCCAAACTCACTTCCGCAACCGCCTAATCGTCGCCCCCATCTCCTCCCCTTGCTCCAAACACCGCCTCGTCTCCTCATCAATCTCAAACCGCTCCTGACACAACTCCACACACTTCTCGATCTTCCCCACCGGCACCGCAACCACTCCATCCGCATCCCCGACAATGTAGTCCCCGGGCTGAATGACCACACTCTCCCCGGCGGTCCCCTCCGCATACGTGACGGGGACATTCAGCTCGGACGAGCGCGTGAAACTCGCCGACCCGAGGATGCTCACGTCGCGGGCGAACAACCCCACGCCGAGCTCCCGGTGCTCGGCCACGTCGCGGAACCGCCCGTCGATCACCACGCCCGCGGCGCCCAGCTTCTGCGCCCGCGTGCTCATCAGCCCGCCCCAGCAGGCGCTGACCAGCCCCTTCGGCTGGGAGACGAACACCACGCTGCCCTTGGGGATGGCGTCGGCGAAGTGCTTGGGCGGGGTTGGGGAGGCTTTATCCGAGTCGCGCACCATGCGCACGGTGTAGGCGGGGCCGAAGATCTTGGTTTTGGTGCACATGAGTCCCGGGGAGAACATCTTGAGGCCTGAGAGGTAGCCGCCGTTTGGGACGCCGAGTTTGACGAGGGCGTCGCCAATCTTCGACGAAGAGGTTAAGGGTTAGTTTTGTGTTTGAGGGCTATCTCGGACAAGTGCGAGGGGATAGGTACTCACGTCGCAGGAGGCGAACCGCCGCAGGGCTTGGATTGTTTCGGAGCGCAGAGCCATGCTGGTTGTGGTTTTGTGTAGGGTGTAAGGGCACTGGGGATATTGAGAGGGGAGTATTTGGTGAAATTGTCGAATGTCGAGAAGAGAAAGTGTTAAACCATCCCCGATTGGAGAAAGGTACACTCCATCCGATGGATGCATCGGTTCTTGCCGATGACAGAGTGCAGCCCCGCGGTCCCCGGGCTACTCCGGGCATACTGTAGGTCTAACCATTGGTAATTACGCGTATTGTACAAGTGGCGTGGACCTTCGCGATGCAACATGAAGACTTCACACCTCAACCTAAAGCTGAAAAAGATCTATTATATAGCATCATGACCAATAGAAGACAGGAAAAAGTAATAAGATCTCTTCATTAATTCGAAATGCACCGCTTATCGTCCTCGATATCCAATATATCTCTATTGTGGGGCAGTATTGAGCTGTAACCTTTCCGTACACCGCCCCGGACTAGCCCCGCCGAGCGCGGGCTTCTCCAGACCCTCCCCAAAAAAAGTCGCGGGGTACCGTACAAGCATCTGAGTAATATGAGAACCTTCATAGGAAGAGAAAATGGCAGACATAATAAGCAACTTCCTTCTGTCTTCATATCGGCGAACAATGCGTGGAAACCACTAACCCTCGAAAATCACCATGCAGCGACTCCCATCCTCCCTGCGCGGGACTAACCGCGCACACCACCATCTCCAGATCCGAAGCACAAGAACCTATGCGACGCAACCAGCGGCTTCTGCTGTGAGATTACCCCCTAGAATACGCCATTCACCCCTAAGAGGATGTCTGTTTGCTGACCTGCATCTCCAACAGCACTCGGCCGTCAACTATGCCCACCAACTCCGCACCCTCGAGCAACTAAAGCAAGGCTCGAAGCGGCCGCTCACCCTGACCGAGAAACTCCTCTACAGCCACCTGATCACCTCCGGCAACCGCGAATGGAACCTCGAGAAGATCCAGCGCGGCCAGAGCATATTGGAGCTGCGCCCGGACCGGGTGGCGTGCCACGATGCGACGGCCACCATGGCGTTGTTGCAGTTCATCAGCGCGGGACTGCCCCGCGTGGCCGTGCCCACCACCGTGCATAGCGACCACCTCATCATCTCCGAGAAAGGGGCGGAGGAGGATCTGCGACGCGCGGAGACGGAGCATCGCGAGGTGTATGAGTTCTTGAGCAGTGCGTCGAAGAAATACGGGATCGGGTTCTGGAAGCCTGGTTCGGGGATTATTCATACGGTGATTTTTGAGAACCATGCTGTGTAAGTTTGGCGTCGAGGAAGGGCTGGGGGTCACAGACATGAGCTAACAGGTGTAGGCCTGGTGGGTTGATCATTGGGACGGATTCGCACACACCGAATGCGGGAGGGCTGGGGATGCTGGGGATCGGGGTTGGAGGCGCGGATGCCGTAGATGCAATGTCGGGGATGCCCTGGGAGCTGGTGGCGCCAAAGGTGGTGGGTGTGCGGCTGACAGGACAGTTGCAAGGCTGGACCTCCACGAAGGATATCATATGCAAGTTGGCGGGCCTGTTGAGCGTCTCCGGGGGTAAAGGACGCGTTATTGAATTCTTCGGCCCCGGCACACAGACGCTGGGCGCAACGGCTATGGCAACCATCTGTAACATGTCCGCCGAGATCGGTTCCACCTCGTGCATATTCCCCTACTCGGACGCCATGGGCCGGTACCTGAAGGCCACCGGACGAGCGGACAGCGTCGAGCGGATCGAGGCTGGGAACACGAGATCCACTCTGTTGACGGCAGACGAGGGTTCGGACGACTACTACGACCAGATCATCGAGCTGGACCTGACCACCCTGGAGCCCCACGTCAACGGTCCATACACCCCCGATCTGGCGCACCCGATATCGAAGCTGAAGGACGCGGTGGCCGGGCAGGATTGGCCCGTGGAGCTGAGCCACGCCATGGTCGGCAGCTGCACCAACAGCTCATACGAAGACCTGGACAAAGCCCGTCAGATCGTGTCGCAGGCCCGTGCAGCGGGCATCACCAAGTTCAAGACCCCGTTCATGGTTTCCCCAGGAAGTGAACGCATCCGCGCGACAGCTGAGGCCGATGGTATCTTGCAGGAGTTACGCGATGCCGGAGCCAAGGTTCTGAGCAGCTCGTGTGGACCCTGCGTCGGCTCTTGGGACCGCAAGGATGTGGCGAAGAAGCAGAAGAACTCGGTGATCTCGAGCTTCAACCGCAACTTCATCGGTCGTCATGACAGCAACCCAGCGACGCACTCCTTTGTCACCTCACCGGAACTGGTGACTGCGTTTGCCTACGGCGGGCGATTGGACTTTAACCCGCTGACGGATAGTATCGCCTCAGATAAGGGCAATGTGCGACTGAGCCCCCCGGTCGGCGAGGAGCTGCCCACCCAGTTCGAAAGTGGACAGGATCTGTTCCAGCCTCCGTCGAGTGACGGGGGCGCTGCAGCGGTGGCTATACACCCCGACTCTGAGCGCTTGCAGCTACTGCAGCCCTTCCCGGCCTGGCAGAAGGACGCAGCACAGACGATGGAGCTGCTCATTAAGGTGAAGGGCAAATGCACGACAGATCATATCTCCCCAGCCGGTCCGTGGTACAAGTACCGGGGCCATCTGGAAAACATTAGCAACAACATGCTTACCACCGCGACCAATGCTTTCCTCCCTGCGGACGACCCGCAATTACTGGGTCATACCCGCCACCCCATCACGGCCGAGTTGCAGGTTGTCCCGCAGGTAGCGCGGGACCTCAAGCAGCGAGGAGTGAGGTGGTGCATTGTGGGTGATCACAATTACGGCGAAGGCAGCTCGCGGGAGCACGCCGCTCTTGAGCCCCGGTATCTGGGAGGAGTCGCGGTAATCGCACGCTCCTTCGCGAGAATCCACGAGACCAATCTGAAGAAACAGGGTATGCTGCCTCTAACCTTTGAGGATCCGGCTACATACGATCGTATTGCCGAGGGCGACCGGATTTCATTGATTGGTGTTGAGGAGGGCGAGCTTGTCCCGCACTCCCAGGTGGTCATGCGAGTTACACCCCGGGAGGGTCAGGCATGGGAGGCCAAGTTGAATCATAGCTATCACGCTGGTCAGATTGCGTGGCTACGGGCTGGAAGCGCCTTGAACCATATCAAAGCGACTGCTCTCTCATGAGACGGGTGGGGATGATTGAAATGTACTTTAGAATGATAGTACTGGGAATAGAGAATCAACCAACAAGCATCTTATCATCTGGGAATATCATTATTTGGAGATGATGCTATGATCGACGACACGGATTCACGACTTTACCCTCTTGACCATGACAAGGGGACATGTATAGAGATAACAAAAGGAAAAGGTATGGAACAATGCAGGCGCAGAGGCAGCCGTGGACTGGAGACCACATAGTACTCTCGAAATTGTGGACAGGCACTGTCTACCTCGGATTCAAGATCTGGGACAGTGAGTCCAGTGGCCGAATCTAGTCCCGCTGAATATCCGGAATGCTCCCGGAATCGTCTCTCGGAGCTACCCTGCGACGGTACTGAAGCCACAGTCTGTCTCGACTCCCCGTAAATTAAAAGCCCCGCCTCCGCATCTCGTGCCATGCACCCCGGACTTCTGTTGGCTGGAATGGGGCAACTGTCAATGCGTAGGGCATCAGTACATCTAGACTTGTGGCCGTGACAGTTGTGCTATCATCACTTCCCGAGGAAATACCTCTTCCTGTACCGAAGTACAGCCATCCAGACAATCCTCCACTTCACAGTTCTCTATTTACCTTAACCATGACTGGCTCTTGACTATTGGTGCAGCATGCGGCGGGTTCAGCAACAGCGCCTTTCAAAATGTCCCCAAGGCTGCCCGGAAGCCCTAAATCTGGCTGCCCGTCATCAGTGCCTCTTACGGCGGTGGTAGGCCTTCATGGCTTCAACACTCCAACATCTCAGGGACCATGAGTCTGGACCCGTTGATCCAGGATCTTGGCTGGACGGATTCGACAGACTCTCAGATTTGAAATGACATAGACTGGGCAGTGTATTCGATGCTCCTGGTAAGTCGACTCTACCCTACTGAGGATTTCTTTGGGAAATTGAAGCTAACATACGGGATAGGGTCAAACAGTCGGTGTCATTTCCTTCGATTTCGTCGGTGACGGTACGGTCGGGTAGTGATCCTTCTCGGATGATGAGTGCCTACAATATCAACATCACGACAGGTGTATCTGGAAGCTACTAGATCAACTACGGCTCGCTGGAGATTTCCCTGTGGACTCCAGCTCGCAGTGGCGCGTCACTTTGACTCTGCAAGTCATTTTCCCCCGAAGTTGGACGATGGATAAGATTGTCTAGGGAATGGGCTCGTGTGCGTCGGTCTTGATTGCTATAATTGTGGTGTGGTTTCCTCTCGCAGGGTCTGATATGGCAAGTCCAGGTCAGAGCGCGGTAGGGCTGAATCTAGGATCGGATGGATCCGAAATGCAGACCAGGCAGTAGCACATCTCCGGGGCGGCCGGGTTTCTGAGATGCGCACTTCGCGACCTCTATGTCGCAGAATATACAGGGACTGACTCAATATGACTCAATTGTTTCTTAGCGATGCCCCAATCCCGACTAAGAGATGGTAGGTTAGTCAAAGGTTAGACTCGTCTGGCCGGCCGCCGGGGGTTTTATGTTTGTCTGCCTCAGGCGGCCAGACCCATTAAGAGCAAAATCACCCAACAAAGAAAGCAATGCCAATCGATTGATGCTAGGCGTCCAATTTCCCTTGTTCAGGAGGCTTGTGACCACTGTGGAGGGCGCATAGCCCGCCACAGATTACGCGGCGTCGCCTGAATCCGAATAGCCCAGTCCTCATTTCTACCAGCTTCCCTCTGGACATTAGGATTCTTGGCCCGACCCACAGAGCTGAGCATGGACATATGCCAATACGCAACAGACTTAGTAGACATAACTGCATTGTCGTACGTCTAATTGTGTGTCCCGAAGTCAATAAGCAAAATCATATTCATTTACATCGTGTTCAGTTTACAGTACAGTGATCTCGAAAATAATACAGCATCCAAGCCACCCTCCCCACCCCCATGAGAATTTACTTG